CAGAAAAGTGATCCTGCAAGATTCCCATTACACCGGTCAGAAGGCCAGGATTACCTTTCGAAACAGTTAACATCGACGTTATTGGACCTATTCAATCTCCCTCTGCTAGGAAACATAAATACAGTCAAAAGTCGTTAATCCGGACTCGTCGGGACTTCGGCGATTCCGGATTATAGATCATCAGTTTAAATCTGGTAAGATGGCATGCAGAAATTATAAAATTAAAAATATGAAACCGTAATTTATGAAATAAAGAACAATTATGATCTAAAGGGTATCAAAATTTTACAAAAAAAAAAAAAAAAAAAAAGCTTAATATTTATTTGTTTACTTTATTCAACATTTCTTTCAATGTAAGTTGTTTAAGTTGCTTCGTTTTTTTATCTGATACTACATTCTCTTTAATTCTATAAACATACATAATTTCTTGTTCTGTTACAAAGTTCCGCTGTTGCTGTGTCGAGAATACCGACTAATTTGTCAATCGAAATTTTTTTGTTTTCAATAACCTCTGTCACTTTCTTCGCTATCGGAAGCGAATTATAATGACGAGGAATTTGATTTAAATCATATCAAAGACGGAGTACATCAAAATGAAATACTACATTTAGTAAGGAATTAGAAGCCAAATAAAATAAAAACACTGCCCTGAAGATAAGGATAGTGCTGACAGATCAACTTCCAATTCATTGCCCCGCCGCCGCATTAAAGATAAACAAAGGATATGCCTTTATCCATTTTTTGCAGTAATTCCTTTTTTTGTTTAATGGACTTCGAAACATACTTTCGCTTTGTAGATCCTTTACATATTAGTAAATATATATCATAAATTCTATTTGACATAATCAAAAGTTCAAGCTTACTTTTATAAAATTGCTCTAACAGTCTGCAAAAAATAATAAGCCGAATCCAATTCGAAGATTAAGGAACAACGCAATCTGCAACATTAACTGAATTAGATAATTTTAGCTTAGCTTGTACCATCCGTTATACATTAAACGCGCATTCGTAAACGTATTTTTCGCACGCGCACATGCATATTCACAGCCGTAAAGCTGTCAACGCGACGCATGCGCAGAAAGTTTGTAGCTTTGAGGTTCGGATTATGGGTGTCCGAATTAACGACTTTTGACTGTATGTGTTATGTCTGGTAAATCAACATTCCCGATGGCCAGAAGCGATTCCACTAAGAATTTGTTTCAAAATTAACTAAAGAATTCCAGAAAAGACTATGTTCTCTACACTTGCTTACTGTGCTTCAAATGGATTAGTAGAAAGATGGAACAAGTCCTTCAAGCAAATTGTTCATCATGTCATCAGGACTGATCCTTTGAATTGGGATAAGCACATCCCAACTTGGCTTTGCATACAGAGAAGTACCAAACTGCACCACGGTGTATCACCATTTCAGCTGATGTACGAAGAAACCAAGGGTCCTTTAGCAGTACTAAGTCTTCATGGTCAGGAGAAACTATACCACCTAATCTAATTGAATCGGCATGGAACTTACAGCATTTAAATAAGGTTTGAAGAACCAATTTAATTGCAAGTGATAAACAGCAAAAATATGCTGGCAACTTTAATCGGAGATCAGTACCAAAAAATTTCAAAATCAGAGAACAAGTTTATTTATTCATCCGAGATTCAAATAACAAACTCTATGCGCGATGGACTGGACCAGGAGAAATCGTGAATCATTGCCCACCCCATTCCTATAAAGTAAAACTATCTGATGGAAAGATCAAACATGCTCATGCAAATAAAATTCGAAAATTCCAAGCTAGCGTCAATGCAGTTATAGTGATATTTGAAAATGAAGAAAAATTTGGAGAAATTATAAATTTGCCAGGAAAAAAACTGTCGAACGCAGATGCATTATCCAGACTCCCCACCTGTGAACATTGAACATTAATTTACTGTTCATCTTCACAAACATTTTGTATAGTTAACGATTAGATAGTTTTGCTTGCTTTTCTTAATAATTTACAATTTTGTGCAAATAAGATGTTTTATGTAATTTGAAATCGAGAGAAAAATTATTGGATAACAAATATTCGAGGTAAGTGGTAAATTTGATATGTCTCCCAAGGATATAAATCATGCTGCAGCATCGTTAATTAAAGAGAACGCTAAGAATAGAATTTTATATATATATAAGAAGCTTAATAATTTTACTGTCATCATTGGAATAATACTAGGGTATATTTTAACATGTTTATAAAAGAAAAAATGTCAGCTTGGTTTCTTTGGGTTAAGAATTGATAAATTGTTACAATAATAATAATGTTTGGAACAAGTGAAGTTAAAAATGTGTTATCCATGTTTATATATGTTTATGTAGGAAATTGATGTGCAGTTGTAGGTATTACATTGCAAATGTCTATAGTAGTTGAGATTTGAAAATTAGGGTAGAATGTATAAATGTATATGTAGTTTTTTTCTTTTTCTTGTTGATCACAAACAGTTGCTAGATTTTAGTTTCCAGATTGCTGATTGATTTGTAAATAGTATTAACAACAATCTTACGTCGGGGGTGTGATTTCTGGCGACTGTTTGGCGATCAACAGAGCGTGCTTGGCACAGGTAGCTCTTCTCCGAAATGGGTTAATGTATTTAAAGAGAGTTGCATGTCAGCCTCGGAAGAGGAAGGTTGTAGATTTCGCCCTGCAGTAGGACCAATGTACTGCTCTGAGTTACTGTTATGCTTTGAATCATATTTGTAATAAATGTTCGTTTCGTCTTGTTAAATGGTGCTTTGTTAAACCACGAAGTCATCACTGATATCGCAGCCTCTTCTGCTCCCATTCGTACCCCTTAAGATTCATAATGTAAAATAACTGTAATACGTTACCACATGCAGTGGGTTAAATTGACCTAGATTGACTACCTCAAGCAGAAATTTTTTTTTTTTTTTTTTTTTTCCCCCCCTCCCCCCTCCAAGTTTCTGTTCCTAGGACTATTTTACTAGACTATCCAATAAGGTACCAGAAGTAACGGATGCAAGTTTTGAGAAATTCCTAAAATATCTGAGATTAGTAAAAAACAGGCAAAAAATGACCAGTGTTTGTGCTGACAGAGTAACAAGAAATGAATGACTTTAATGCTTCCTCCTTAAAGTTCATATATAACCAGCTTGTTGTATACATGGACTGTCAGATTATATTCCTTTTTTATCAGTAGGAATTATTTCATTGTTACCTCTTTTTGGCCCATACAAATTTAACACGAAATATTCTTCAGACATTTATTTCTGGTTCTAATAGTGTACTGCATAATTATTAACCAAAAACTTAATTAGAACATAGATGTATTCATCTGAATTTGAAGAATGGAAAGATAACTGGGGAGGGGGGGAACGCAGTGCTATATTCTTGATACAGTACAACTCCAATTATCCAAACTCCAACTGTCCGAATCGCTGATTATCCGAATTGCTTTCAGAGTTTAAGAAAAAAAACTAAGATGGAAATGTTTCATGATTTAACGCATGTGTAACGTGTATGCAGTATCTTCTCGATGCATACGTGACTAAAGCGGGGGAAGTCCGCGCAAAACCGCTGAACACTGGTACTTCAGTCCAACTTTCGAATACCGGTGAAATTGTACATGGCAACTCATGAACACTGAACAATGAAAAGCGGGCTTGCCCGCTAGTCACTTTTAAACTTTGTGTCACTGCTCGGAAACGAAGATGGAAGTCCATCATGAAAATCAATGAAGGTAACAATAAACAAAAATTTAGAAGATAACATTTTCAAGTTGTTTTTCAAGTGTTCTATGGGAAACCCAATTTCATGTCCAATTCTTTGTGAAAAAGCTAAGATCTTAGCCAAGTTTGGTTATTCATCCTTTAAAGCAGAGTTTCATAAACTATGGGTTGCAAATCGAAACTTAGGGGATCTCAAAAATTCAATTCAATGGTTGAATTTAAAGAAACTGCATTTATAAGACTTTTAAAGAATTACATTAATGAGATTAATTACCTGTTCTATAAAGTGCGAAAGAACTTCCAGCAACTCAAGCTTAAAACTTGAGTTTTCACAAAAATCCTTGATGAATTCTGGATCAGAGTTTAAATTTCTTAATGTTTCCGAAATAGCATTAAATGTTCTTCTCTCATTCAGCTTCATGTAATTTTATAAAACTACTTTTTCAGCTTTTATGTTAATGTTGAAACTTAACTATGTTAATGTCAGCTAATGCTGAAACATGTTGAAGATGCTTTTATGTCCAGCAGTGTGAAATATCACACCAACATTTAATTTATTATGCAGCAGAAAATGAGCACATCTGTCTCAATAGGATTTTTTTCAATTTTTGTTTGCTTAAAATAAATTCTAAAATACCTCTTTTTATACATATATTGTTTACCAAAGAAGTAAATTATTTACGGGAGGATATTTATTTTTATATCTTTATTTTATATTTAATATCTGAAGTCACAAAAAAAATATCAGTGATTAAAAGGGGTTTCGATTAAAAAAAAATTAAGAAGCTCTGCTTTAAAGCCAGTAATGGCTGGCTAAGAAATTTTAAGTGCAGGCATGGTGTCTGTCAGACAGCTTACTTTGACCGAGATGTTCAGCAAGCAATGACTTTCAGCACTTGCACATAATGTGCAGTATGCTATATAACATGTATGTAAAAGTGTTACTCTTTTAATTTTAATTAATTAAAGTGTACTTGCTTCAGAAAAAATCCAGATATCCAAATTTTTTATTATCCGAATGAAGTCCGGTTTCGGTTGATTCGAATAATTGGAGTTTTACTGTATCTGTGTTTTATGATAATGTTGTACAAAACGTTAAATAAAGTCATGTATTAGAAATCATTAGAAAAATCATATACGTTATTCAGGAGTTTTGCCTTTTTCGATGTCAGATAAAGATCTTTAACCTTTTCTGGAATGAGATCAAGTAATAACCAAGCCATTTAATATTTTTAGAAATTATTTGTTTCTTATCATTGATTATAAAGTGAATCACTGTTTATATTTTTAGGATTTAGAAGCGTACAGCAGTAGCTACTCAGGTTTAGCTAAGCTTTATAGATTGCTTTACATAGCTGATCACTGTCCTTCCTTAAGGATTGAGGCATTAAAAATGGCATTATCTTATGTGCAAAACACATACAATGTGAGCATGTATCAAATGATCCATAGAAAACTCCTGGAAGCAGCTGGGTAAGATATTTCTCTATTTCTTTTGTACATAGTTAAACATTTTTATTATCATAAATAAGAAGTAGTTGTTTGCTTACCTTAATTATAATTTTTTATGATGTAAGGTTTATCCTAAATTTTTAACAGTTAATTTTAGTTAAATCTACTTTCCTGTCCTTCCTAATTTCAGCTTACAATTTCCTGCCAGAATGTGTTTTTAGAATCATGTTTAATGCCAATGAGTAAGAGTAGTATTTAAGTCGAAGTTCCACTGACTTCAAGAGAGAGCCTTAGAATTTCTGACTAGTGTGTGCTTTCTTTTTTTCTAAGCCTCTCTAAGCTGTTACTACCCTCGGACATATTACGGGCCCTTGATAGCTTCGCTAGCTTATTTGATATTTAGGGGCCAATTGCTTAGAATTTTGATAGCTTCGGCTATATCTTTTTAGCTAAGCATTAGGTAAGTTTTTATTTCTTATTACTTTGAGTTAAGCCCAAGTGGAGGCTTCGCTGTACCCCCTAAGAAAGAGGCCGTCTGTTTAATTCTTATTTTGAGAAATAAAGGGTAATCAACCCGTCTTGAGTGTTCATCTCTGTTTCTGAACTAAAGCAATTATTCGCTTAGTTATTCACTAGGTTCCTCCACATTTAGCTGTTAGATAAGAGGGTGGAACCCCACCATCTTTTCTAAATCATTTGTTTAATTTCAGTTTCAGTTATTTTAGCTGTAACTCAGAAGATTAGACTAATGCTACTAAGCAATAATTACATTTTTGAATTTGATCACTAATGTGCTTTACTAAATTATACTGGAACCTTGGTTCGCAAAAGAATTATATGAATAAAATATGTTTCAAGTCACAAATACTCAAGTTGACAACAAAATATTTTCAGACTATGGCTGAAAGTCTCAAAGTTTGAAAATTGCATATGGCACTGTCTATAATTTTTTCCCCTCCAAATACTGACATTCTATGAAATTTATTATCAGTTACTCTGCCTGAAGACTTCGCACTGTAATCTTGAAAAAAAAAAAGTGCTTTTTATCAGTATCTATTCAGGCATAGGGCACAAATTGGTAGTCTCAGCTATTTCATTAATGTGATTACCAACATTTATTTGAATAACCATGAATTATTAAAAACAAATATAATTTTCTTTTAATTTAATTATTTAATACCAATATAAAATTGAGTGAATGTTTTAAATAATTGTATTTTAAAAATATAAGCTCACTGGTGGTAATATGCTAAAAAATTGCTTTCAAAGCATACAAGACTAAATGGTCCATAGAACATTCTAATTTATAAAAATGGTTCCCACAAGAAAAAAGTTTGAGAAATGCAGCAGTAATCTATGCCACAGAATTAATACTCAGAAACTTCTGAAAACATTATCTTAGTGTTCTCCATTGCAAATAATTAAATTTGTTTAATAAATTTGGCAGCATTTATCACCTGATCGTGCTGCAGATATTTTTGACTCTTATGGTGTTTGTGGTTTTCTGTGACACAGTCTGTGCCTTGAGGCAAAACCATGGGTTTAGAAGTAGACAGTGAAGATATAGAGGTGTAATTAGAGAACCATAAAAAATTAGTTCAACGAAAAAAAAACTGCAACAACTTCAAAAACAGCAGCAAAGGGTGATTTTATTCTGAAAAATTTGTGCAAAGTTAGCAGGTAATATCACCTTGAAAAATCAGTAGCAAGCTACAGCATATGCATTTTCAATAATAAGTATTCACCATTCTCCTTTGTAATGAGTATAATAAAATTAAATTTTCATCAGTTTAGTATTGTGTTTATCTTTTATTGTCCCAGATTTGATCAATTCCTTTAATTTTGTGTTATGAACTAGTGCTCAGTATCCTGTTGTAGAAGTTTGAATAAGTACTCATCTTTGGCCCAGGAATGAATTATTCCACTTTACATTAATTCCTGTGGGGAATAATTTTTGATTTATGAAAGTTTGGATGATAAGTGACATTCAGGAATGAATTACAAGTAAAATTCCTGATTCATCGGAGTCTAGGTTAACGTCTGTGATTAATCCAGAATCATGGTTTATCCAAGAGCAGTTAAAAACGCATAAGAATAACCCATGTTGTAATTAACAGAAAAGTACTATTAACCATTTAACTTTTAATTTGGAAAATAAATTCTTTTGGTTATGCAAATTAAATCAGCATTTAAAACAAAAAGGTGCTTGGGAACAGAAGGAAAAAAATTATAATAAAATAATTATAATAAATAAATTTAAATTGCTCATGTATTTCAGTAGGAGTCTTTGGGAAATTAATAGTTGTAAACTTAGTTTATTTTTGCAATGCATCAATTCATTTTCAACTGCTTTTTCATATATTCTGGATTATGTTTAATTGAATAGAGCACTAAATTTGTAAGAAAGATATTTTGAGGTTGTATGTATTTTTGCCTTGCCGCAAAGTGAGAACTGAATTAATTGAATGAGAAATATATGTCTAATGAAATTTGAGGAAATAAGTGTTTCATATTAACAGAAATGTGGTGCACATGTCAGATATTTTTTGTTTCATTATTTTTGTTGTGAACTTGAGTTATACTGTGTATACACATTTCTAAATTTACTCCTCTGTTGTTTATTACATATAATTTAAAGTCGTCATCTAATTAATGTTTTTGTATCCTTTCAAAAATATGTGTTCAATGTGTACTTATCTGCTGTATTACTGCTGTTATCGGCAGTTTATTGTCTGCTGTGTTACTGCTCTGCAATATTCACAGAATTCCTCTGTTTTTTCTTAATTGCTAGCAATATGACACAAGCTCGCTTTTGTATTTTTATATAACTGCATTGTTATCAGTGCAGAGGGTGTTCACACATTTTTGTAATGATTTTGACTTTCTCCATGAATTTAAGTATTAATTTTAAAATACAAACGTGACTGGCATCCAAATGATATAAGGTTTAATTATCATCTGCAACATTAAAAATGTTCTTTTCTTTAAAATGTCGTTGAAAAATAAGCAATGGATTGAAGGCTATATTTTTGCGCTTTCCGAAAAGAAATACTCTTATTCAATTGTAAATGTAAAAAGCATGGTTTTAATATTTCTGAATGTAATATAAGTGGCATAATTAATATGAAAGGAAAGAAACATCCAAGTTTACATCTGACTGAGAAAAAAATTTTAAAAATGCATACCCAACAAAGGTATGTACAGCTGTTATTAAATCTAAAGTCGCATCTCGCGTTTTAAAGGGAAATCCAGCCCCACCCCAAAGAGCTATTGCAAAATCTTTAAATGTTTCTGTAGGAAATGTGAACAAAATTATAAGATCTGATTTTAAGCTAAACAAAACAAAAGAAAAAAAAAAACATGATGTTCATCCTTAACGCCGAAACACGTTTCTCGGGTTAAGACTATGTGCAGATTGCTGTATGAAAATTATTTGGCATGTGAAAAATGGAAATACAAAGTTACAATGGATGAGGCTTGGATATACTTATCAATTGCAATAGAAAAAGATCAGTGTACTACCGAAAAAGAGGTGAGAAAGACTGTTGGTTCAGAGAAAATAAGGAAAGTTATTCTAAAGGCTTTATGGTTATTACTGGATTCTCTTATAACAGAAAATCTAAAATAAGGAAAGTAGAAAAAATGTCAAAATTAATTCGGATTACTATCAGAAATATGTTTTGATGTGTATTTTTAAAGAAGAAATTCCATCTCTTTAATCCAAACAATCTTCTGTTAGAATCCATCAGGATAAGGCTCCCAGCCATACTCCTAAATCTACTGCTTTTTTTTTTTTTTTTTTTGAAGAAATGAAACTGAAATTAAAGCTATTCCCTTTAAATGCATTTCACGCAGGTCCAACGCTGCATATGTTAGCAAAATTTGAAAATACATTTTTACTTTTTATACACTTACTTTTTTTATGGTAAAAATGCTTTTTCTTTTTAACTTTAGCAATTCTAATCTTCCTGATGTCACTGGTGGTCTGAATGCTGGAGTTTTGCCTTTGGACACGCAGTGGATTGAAACTAAAAGTAAGAAAGCTGCTCTGAAATTAGAAAAGCTTGATACTGATCTAAAAAACTATAAAAGCAACTCTATCAAGGAAAGTATCAGGTATAAATTACTCTTATATATCGGCGAATTAATGTTCATGTGTTTATTCATGCATTATCTTAATTTATTAAGCATGTTACCTGCTATTTTGTCGTGCACTTGAATTGATGCAAAGCTGCAAAATGCATTGCATATATGACAGTATCTGTAATTGGCATTTCTGTTGTAGACGGGGCCACGATGATTTAGGAGACCATTATTTGGATTGTGGAGATCTAAGTAATGCGTTAAAATGTTATTCCAGAGCAAGAGATTATTGTACTAGTGGAAAACATGTCGTGAACATGTGTCTGAATGTCATTAAGGTAATTCAAAATTTCTACAGTTTTGCTGCATTAAAACTAATACATATATCCCAGTAATTTACTGTAAATCAAGATTAAATATGGTTTACTTTGTTATTTCAATAGTCTGAAATTCTTGTGATTATTTGTAAGGATTCACAGGTTTCTCCTATTCCATACAGTTTATATTTCATATAGTAATTAAGACTTTTTAGTTCTTTGTATGAAGTTAGGAAGTATTGCAATTGTGAAAAATTTTGGGGTTTCTGATTGCATAGGAAGAACCCATTTTGGCTGAGATTTGAGGGGGCTTTACATTTGTACACTGCACAAAAAAAGGGGGAGAGTTCTATATCTCCTGTTCTACTAGGCCGATTGATGAAATTCAAACTGCATTTTCCATGTCTCGAAAATGCGTAATAGGATATATACAGTCAAAAGTCTTTAATCCGAACTTGTCAGGACTTCGGCGATTCCGAATTATCGGTTTTTCCAGATTATAGATCATCAATTTAAATCTGGTAAGATGGCATGCAGAAATTATAAAATTAAAAGTATGAAACCGTAATTTATGAAATAAAGAGCAATTATGATCTAAAGGGTATCAAAATTTACAAAAAAAGGAACTTAATATTTATTTGTTTACTTTATTAAACATTTCTTTCAATGCACACATGCGTAATGCATACATTGCGCATTGTTGGAATTAGAAAATTGCAACCAGAAAAATATTTGCATATTCGTGATATTTATAATGACGAGGAATTTGATTTAAATCATATAAAAGACGGCGTACATCGAGATGAAATACTACATTTAGTAAGGAATTATAAGCCGAATAAAATAAAAACATCTGCCCTGGAGATGAGGATAGTGCTGACAGATCAACTTCCAGTTCATTGCATGCCGCAACTTTAACCTCCACCCACACACACAGAGCAGCGTGAAATTGATAAACAGATTTCGGAATGGTTAGAGAAACAAAGGAATATGCCTTTATCCATTTTTTGCAGCAATTCCACTTTTTCTTTGATGGACATTGAAACATGCTTTCGCTTTGTAGATCCTTTGGCAGCTCCAGAATCGGTAATTCTTTTTGACATAATCGAAAGTTCAAACTTACTTTTATAAAATTGCTCTAACAGTCTGCAAAAAATAATAAGTAGGATCCAATTCGAAGATTAAGGAACAACGCAATCTGCAACATTAACTGAAATAGATAATTTTAGCTTAGCTTATATCGTCTGTTATACATTAAATGCACATGCATAAATGTATTATGCGAATGCGTAAACGCATATCTGCATGGGTAAATGCATTATGCCTTTATGCATGCGCAGAAAGTTTGTAGCTTTGAGGTCCAGATTATAGACCATTCCGGATTATGGACGTCTGGATTAAAGACTTTTGACTGTATTACATTTATATGTAGCATTGCTTTAACTTAGGTATTTTGACACAAATCAGACTTTTCTGAAATAACATACCACCTTTTTCCTATGTTTCAATTCTGAGACTCAAATATACAGTAGTATCCAAAATTGTGGACACTTTTGGAAATTTTTATGTTTTTGAACTTTGTATGCTTATAGAAAACGATACGTTTCACAAAATGCAAACTTGTATATATCATTTTAGAGAATTTATTACTGAATTCAATACAAAACACAAAATTCAATTATTTGCAATACAAAAATGTTAAACGATAATAGTTATCGATATACATTAGATGATTGCAGTGAGTTATCAGTACTTAGTAGGGTACCCTTTATTTTTGATTACAGCTTCACATCGACGTTTCATTGAGCTGACAAGAGTTCTAAGCTCTTCTTTCGTTACTGCATGATCCCAGGAAACAATTATTGCCTCAATTAGTTCCATTTTATTTGATAGGCGCCTCATTCGAACAAGAGTTTTCAAACGGTGCAACAAATTTTTGATAGGATTGAGGTCAGGACTGTTTCCTGGCCATGACAACAATTTAATGCTCTTTATACGAAACCACTCTTTCGATATTTTGTGGCAAGGAGCAGAATCCTGCTGAAAAATAAACGAAGCATTGTTGGGAAAGAGATCTCTGATGAAAGGTAGAAGTTTTGGTTCTAGAATAGTGTCAATGTATTTTCTGGCATTCAGTGTCCCATCGATGACATGAAGGCGACCAATACCATCTGCTGACATGCATGACCAAATCATAACACTAACTGGGTTCTTCACAGTTGCTTGAATGCAGTCAGGATGTAGCTCTTCTCCTATTCTACGTCTTACATATTTTTGCCCATCACTACCGAATAACAATATCTTAGTTTCATCACTCCATATAACTTGTGACCACTGATCATCTGTCCAATTAATGTGTTCCCTTGCCCACTGTAGTCTTTTTTTCGTTGCTGAAAATTAAGATAAGGCTTTTTTCGTGGAATTCTACCTCTCAGTCCAACATCTGCCAAGCTTCTCCTGATTGTTCTTGAACTGACAGAAACACCAGCATCATTCAGATCACTTCTGATGGCCGCTGATGACATTTTTCTATCTTGGAGACATAGTCTTTTTAATTCTTCTGTCATCAATAGATGTGGTGCATCTTTTTCGGCCTTTTCCTTCTTTGTGTTTTTATTGAATTTGTCTCCTGATATCGTAAACAAACTTTTGGACTCCAGATGTAGTCACTGAACCACCCACCTGTCTTGCAATTTCAGCATAGGAAAGACCACTTTCTCGTAACACAATAATATTACATCTCTTGTCCAATCTACTCTTTTATTTGATGTCATTGCTTCTTGACTAAATATTAAAAATTTTTACAAAATTTCCTACTTGTAATTGCAGTGTATAAGAAACAGGTCCTCCTTCTACAGAACAAAGCAAAATAATGAATTGTTTCAAGTGTAAACATGATGTCAGCTTCTACTGGCAGTTACCAACATTTGATTGGTTCTCAGAACAAGAACAGTGATTGGCCAGGAAAGCTAGACATTACAAACCACTTCATAACCTGTGTTTTTTGTTTATATTAAAGTACATATAACTTTTTTTGTATTGCAAATAATTGAATTTTGTGTTTTGTATTAAATTCAGTAATAAATTCTTATTAAAATGATATGTACAAGTTTGCATTTTGTGAAACGTAACATTTTCTATAAGCATACAAAGTTCAAAAACATAAAAATTTCCAAAAGTGTCCACAATTTTGCCCACCACTGTATGCCTAGATATTAAATTTTGTATTCTATAACTCAAATATATGTCTAGATGTTAAATTTTTTAATTTTTGGTAGGAAATTTATATAGAAATTTAAGAATTTATCTTGCTGCTTTTTTTTTTTTTTTTTTTTTTTTTTTCCCCCAATTTGAGCCGAGAATAATTCACTTGGCTAACTTCTCAATTTATAGCAACCTATCTTCCTTTACTTTTTTTCATTGTCCACAAATGGGGGGAAAAAAAAAAAAAAAAAAAAAGAAGTCATCATTCATACATTCGAATAATTATAACAAAGTGCAGGAACCACATTTCTGTTATTACTGCTTATAATAAATACGCCAAATTTCAAAATGCTCCAAAATGTAAATTCATTTATAGCTTTGGAAATTTTGAATAATTTTTTAGAATTTTTTGCAGGTATGCTTAGAAGTACATCTACTTTAAGATGATGGCAAACATTTTATAGGTTATAATTCACAATTGTTTTCGAAAAATTTAAAAAAAAAATATTTTAAAATACAAATTTGAAATATAAATCATAAAAACTAAGTGAATTTTATTTGAAATGAACCTGAATATCGAAATAGGAAAGGAAGAATGAAGTAAGTTTAATAAAGAAAAGGAGATATTAATAAATATGTGTTAAATTCAATTATTGAGGAGTTAAATTTTGAGAGCTAATTTTTTAAAAACTACTCATGCGATTTTTACAGAACTTGGGGCAGTTTGGCATAGCATCACTCAGCATAGCGTCTACAACAAATCAAGTCAGTCAAGCCTTCATTGTCATTTTGCCAAGTGAGACCAAAAGTAAACTTTCAGTTTTGTGCACCAAAAAATGTGCCTTCTTGCCCGCTGGCGAAATGGCTTGTTTTTGCGTAGAAACTCTAATTTTAATTGTAAAAATAGTTCTTTAAATTATTTTAACTCTTATTTGGTGTTTTATGTTTTTCTATGTGTTTCAATTTTTAATATAGATATTTTGAGTTTTTATGTACTTTTGCCTTGCCACGAAGTGAGAACTGAATTAATTGAATGAGAGATATATCTCTGATGAAATTCGAGGAAATATTGAAATGCAGGAACAATGCGTATAATTGAATATTCCGGACTAGAAAGTCATGTGGTGTGCACATCAGATTTATTTATTCCCTTCTTCCCCATTAGGTCAGTGTTTATCTTCAGAATTGGTCTCACGTGCTGACTTACGTTAATAAAGCTGAAGGGACTCCAGAAGTGGCCGAGGTATTATCCTTAGTTATCTCTTTTATCTATCTAGTTTTTTTAGGTTTAAAAAAATATTTTGATATTGATGAACTTAAGTTAAATTTCTAATTTATTATAATTTGCTCTATATTAAAATATATTGTTATGTTTTTTTCTGACACCAGTTGTTACGTTTTTTTCTTCCTTCATGTTCGTACGGGGTTCGTGTGGATTTGGAGTGAATAAATATGACACTTGATGAAGTATCGAAATACACTTTATTGGCCGATATTAATCAGGACAGCTCCAAAATCTTGTTTACTGTCGTCGAACTGTTATAAGCATGCTGGCTCGATCAAATGACACAGCTTTCAGGTTATCAAGCTGTCACGGTGGAGACAGCTTCACTTCAAAGCACCAGAGTAAAGCTCCCGACTCTGCTTGGTCACTCTCGGAACTCCACGTACTCTCGAGACTCTCCATACTGCAACTCGACGACACACAGAGCACAGCTCCCGACTCTTCGGTCGAGTTGTTCCCAGAGCTCAATATGTTCTCTTGACGATGTACTAACCGCAATATACGAAGAGACTCTCTCGATGCTCTCGGCACTCGTCGCCCGGCTGTCAGCTCGATTGACTCCGCAATGACTGACTAACTATCTTGCCCTCCTCTCCACGTACCAGCAGAGTTTATATAGTTTTTGGCTTGTGTTTGAGGACATTCTGGGCTAAACCGGTAAGAATTCATTCCAGAAGGTTCTCCATCCATCCATGGCATATCGCCAATTTTGTCCCCAAATGTGGCAACCCTGCCATCCCTTGCATTTTATGGCAAGCCTAAAAATGCTTTGCGGGGAAGCTACCTTACCGCGCCTGGACATTTCGTAACAGTTGCATAAAATCTTTTCTTAATATTAAAATAAAGTGAGACAATATATGTCACGTTTTTACTGACTTTGCTGATATTATTTATGAGACCAGTGGATACTCTGAACATTTCAGTCATCTATTTTTTACAGATATGATTTGCAAAGATTTTAATTAATTTAATTGAGTTTACTTTATTATTGTTACCTTTGCAAATAAAGATCAGAAATCTGCAAGTTTACATAATTTACAACATGCTTATTTAACTATTTCAAGGTAATCATTTCATTAACTTTTATTCACACTTGTTTAATTTGTGACATTACATGTCACATTATTACTGACTTACTAATACTATTTTAACTTTTATATTGTTTAGAGCAGTATTCTCATACTGGTGGCCAAGTTCAGGATGAGACTGGCGGAGTCTCAAACCCTTGAACATTTCAATTATCTATTTATTGCAGATATGGTTTGCAAAGATTTTAATTAATTTAATTGAGTTTATTATTGTTATCTTTACAAATAAAGAACAGAAATCTGTAAGTTTACATAATTTACAGTGTGCTATAAATCTTACTTAAATATTTGAAGATACACATTTCATTAACTTTTACACACTTGTTCAATTTAAGTATACTCAGCTTTTAGTACATTATAAGCACGATTTTTTTCACTAAGAATAATTGCTTTGTTTGGAAATATGTTTATATGTCCCCTCCCCACAGTTTAAAAGAAAAAAAAATCTGATTGGCCAGTGAGCATCTACAATCCATGATGTAGATCAGGGTTTCTTAAACTATTTTTAGTCACAACTTCTTTTTATCACTGAGATTTTTTCGTGACCCCCAGGAGCCTATAATATTTACGAAAATTTTGTGGGACCCCCATAAGTATTTCGTAAATTTGACACACGCGTCAGTGAAACTGTCAGTTTTTTAACTTGCGCTATGATATACTATCGCAGTTTTAGATCATTAACTTTAATTTTAAGATATAGAACAATGTGAAAATTTTAAATACATAACAGACGAAGTGACAGTGTCTTGTGCAAAGCAAGGAAAATTAACGTTTATATTATAAAAAGCATGCGTCGAAAAGTTTTCGTTTTTTTCCTTTGTCTGTATTGTCTTATCTTTATCTATTTTCAGATACATTGCGTAAAAATATTTGGTAATTGTAAAATTATTATAATAAGTTAAAGAAATATCAAAACTGCTAAAATTTTTGGTGACCCCCTGCTGCAAGTCATGACTCACAGTTTAAGAATCCCTGATGTAGATAATTTCCTGTAATTTTTCTCCAGTGCATGGACATTATACAAATAAATCTTATATTTTAATGTTTGCTTGAATTACAAAGTGTAATTAATGAATAAAAAATGTATTATAAGTGGCCCATTTTCAGATTTCGCTTACATATACCATCCCAGAAGAAAAGAAAGAAAATTCAAGATAAATTAATATTTAAAGTTTAATTTGAGCAATGCATTGCATAAAATGACTAGAAATATGTTTCTACAATTCAAAATATAAAAAAATCAAATGAAGATTTTTAGATATAAACTTAGCAAATCTATAAAAATAATTTGTTTTTTACTTTGTGTCATGTACGTTACCCTGAGATTATTTTACTCACAATTAGTTTCTAAGTCTGCCTTAAAAGAAGGGGGGAGGGGCAATTCATTGACATAGATCAAAGCTTGATTAGTTTACCTATGTCACTGAATATGTTCTGCCCTTTTTAGGCAGATTTACAATCTGATTATGGGTAAAATAATCTTGATATGAAGTGTGAGAAATTATTTTTATGGATTTGCTAAAAACATTTCTGTAATTAATTTTTATCATGAATATAACACACTAATAGTTCATATTTAAAATAATTAAACTTCTTTATTTAAAAAAATAAATTAGGCTACAAAACAAAGAGGTTGAATAACATAAAACTTGAAAGGGACAGGCATTTTTGCCTATGTTCACATTTTTTAAGATTTATATCTAAAAAATTTCAATTGGTTTTTTTTATTATCATTATTTTAAATTGTAGAAATATATTTATAGTCATCTTTATGCAGTACATTGTTCAAATTAAACTTTAAATATTAATGCATCTTAAATTTTCTTTCTTTACTTTTGGGACAGCATATGTAATCAAAATTTGAAAATGGGCCAGGTACAAAAATGCCAGCTTTCATTTTTTTTTTTTTTAGAGAATTTTTTCCCAGTTTGTGTAATTATTTTCATTGTTTATGTGTATTTTGAATATTTAGTAAGCAAATTTTAAAATATTTTAATTCTGTTTATAAAAAAAAGTCTGGCTCCATCACCTGTTTTTAGATTGTGTATTTGACCATCACGAAATAATTTATTTTCATGGCATACAACTGGGAAATGCATTATTGTAAAATCAGAAGCTTCTTGGTACTGCATTTTAGTTATTTGAATGCTTATATATATAAATTATCTATATAGATATGGTAACAACAAATATCTCTATTCTAAAAAAACTAATATAATTTTAAATTTAATTAAAAATTTTTATTTGCCAAAAATAAAAAATAAAAGATTAGTTATGCTTGCTTGCTGCAAGCTAATTTACAATATTATTTAAATTCTAAGAGCATATGTAAATTAAGTGCACAGATATAAAACCTTGAAAAAATATAATATTCTAAAAAATTATTCTAAAATATTTTCTTAATGATTCTTTTTAAGACCAAATTAATAAGTGAATAATTGTTGAGCAGGCAGGAGACAGACTTTATCAAGGGGAAGTTGCCTCCAAACCTATTTCTTGAATTACTCAATTTGTGTTTTGTAATTGATATAGGCAAGGGTATAGTAAATTTCAAAACCAAATGTTGTGAATTACTAAAAAAGAAATTTAAACTAGTAGGAATTTTGAGAAATTTAGCAAGTAAATGACTGGGAATTAAAATATTAATTAGATGTTAAAATAATTAAGAGAGAAAACCAAAGTAATTTAGAAACTCTTGCCTACAGAAAACTTTCCCTACATAAATTATGCATGTAAACCTAAAATAAACTATAAACAATCTATCAAAATATAAAAATAATACTAAACTATACTAAGAATAATACTCAAAATGCCAGTAAATAGCAAGTTATAATTTAACTTACTTAGAACTATATATATAGTACAGTCAAAAGTCGTTTATCTGGACGGGACTTCGGCGATTCCGGATTATCGATTTTTCCGGATTATAGATCATCAGTTTAAATCTGGTAAGATGGCATGCAGAGATTATAAAATTAAAAATATGGAACCATAATTTATGAAATAAAGAACAATTATGATCTAAAGGGTATCAAAATTTACAAAAAAAAAGCTTAATATTTATTTGTTTACTTTATTAAACATTTCTTTTAATGCAAGTTGTTTAAGTTCCTTCGTTTTATGTGATAATACTTTCTCTTTAATTCTATAAACAGACATAATTTCTTGTTCAGTTACAAAGTTCCACTGTTCAAGTCCTATAATTGCTGTGTCGAGAATACCGACTAATTTGTTAATCGAAATTTTTTCATTTTCAATAACCTCTGTGTCACTTTCTTGACTATCAGAAGCGAATTATAATGACGAGGAATTTGATTTAAATCATATCAAAGATGGAGTACATGGAGATGAAATACTACATTTAGTAAGGAATTATAAGCCAAATAAAATAAAAACATCTGCCCTGAAGATAAGGATAGTGCTGACAGATCAACTTCCAGTTCATTGCGGCCGCGACGTCGCCCCCCCCCACACACACACGCAGAGCAGCGTGAAATTGATAAACACATTTCGGAATGGTTAGAGAAACGAAGGATATGCCTTTATCCATTTTTTGCAGCAATTCCACTTTTTGTTTAATGGACTTTGAAACATACTTTCACTTTGTACATCCTTTACATATTAGTAAATATATATCGGAAATTCTATTTGACATAATTGAAAGTTCAAGCTTACGTTTATAAAATTGCTCTAACAGTCTGCAAAAAATAATAAGCCGAATCCAATTCGAAGATTAAGAAACAACGCATTCTGCAACATTAACTGAATTAGATAATTTTAGCTTAGCTTATACCGTCCGTTATACATTAAACGCGCATGCGTAAACATAGTATGCGCATCCACACACGCATATTTGCAGCCGTAAAGGTCTTACGCGCATGCGCAGAAAGTTTGTAGCTTTGAGATCCGGATTATGGATGTCCGAATTAACGACTTTTGACTGTATACGTATTATTTATTTTCTGTGGCCAAAGTTTTTTTACACCTCTGTGAAGATAAATAATAGTGTAATTTCTATAAAAAAAAGTATAAATTAAACTTGCTGTTAGAATTATTTATGTCTTTATAATACTCTGATGGCTAGAAGCCTGAAGTTAAATGTATTTAATTTCAATCCAGACAGTCAGATCAAATTTTTAAATCTGATGTGTTTTTTTATGTGGTAGAGAAATTGACATATCAGAAATTTTTCTTTCTGAATTTTTATGTCTGATGTATGATAAAATTTTTTCTTGTAGGTGAATGAGAAAGATGCAAACCAGTTGGTCCTTACTAAATTAAAGTGTGCTGCCGGCTTGGCCGAATTAGCCACTCATAAATACAAATCTGCTGCCAAAAATTTCTTGCTAGCATCCTTCGATCACTGTGATTTCCCAGATGTAAGGCCCTTTTTTTTTTCCATGATTATTATACACTGCATTGTACACATGAATATTGTATGCAAAAAAGGGGAGGTGACAGTTCTATATCCCTGTTCTACTGGGTTGACTGACGAAATTCAAATTGCATTTTTCATGTCTCGAAAGCACGACTTAGGATATATATTAGATTTATATGTAGCATTGTTCTAATATAGGTATTTTGCACAAAATCAGACTTTTTCTGAAATGAAAGGCTGATTTTTTTCCCCATATTTCAATTCTTATGACTCAAATTATGCCTAAATATTAAATTTTGTAAAATTTGGTGCGAGATTTACGGGGAAATTCAAAAATGTGTGTTGGCTTTTTTTTTTTTTTTTTTTTTTTTTTCAAAAATACATCTGTCTTTAAGAATGTGTTAAAAATTTTATAGGTTATAATTCAAAACTTTTTTCAAAAAAAATATAAAAACTATTTAAAAATTTCAAATTTAAAAGTAAATCGTAAAAAATGGGCGAATTTTATTTGAAATGAACCTAAATTTTGAAATGTGTAAAACAAGAGATATCAACAAATATATACCAAATTCATTTAACATTTAGGAGCTAATTTTTTAAAAAACTACTGGTACGATTTTTACAAAAGTTACCACTTTGGTATAATTTGAGTTGTAGAATCGAAATATGGAAAAAATTGGCATTTCATTTCAGAAAAGCCCAATTTTTGTGTGAAAATACCTATAGTAGAACAATGTTATAGCATGTAAATTTCATACATGTTCTAAGTCGTGCTTTCGAGGCATGAAAAACGTAAAAACTGTCCCCCCCCCTTTTCGCAGTGTACCTGCTGTTTAAAAATAAAGCAACTTTTTTTGTGAAAAAGAGAACCCAAAAGCTGTTTTTCTGTCTTGTCTGTATTTCTTCTTGTTTTTTTAAATACTGAAAAATTTACATTATTTTGGAATTTGAACTTTAAAGGAAATGTTATTTAAAAACCATGTGTCCAGTGTATAGATTTAAATTATATTATTTGTAAAAATAGATGTTACATCTGTGCAAGTTTGTCTTTATGTGTGTGTGTTGCATTTTGTAGCTTCTTTCACCGAACAATGTTGCTATGTATGGAGGCCTCTGTGCTCTCGCTTCCTTCGATCGACAGGAACTTCTGAAGAATGTGATATCTAGCAGGTAAGGCGCTATATTATTTACTTCAATAAATTAATCTGCTCTTAAACACTGAGTTAGGTTACTCTTTTTTATTTTAATATTTTATTAATTTGTCACTTAAATGTACATATATATATTATAAGACGTGGATAAAACAATTTGTGTAAACAGAGTGTTATAGTGCTTGCAGTGTTTTATTGTTCCTTTTCTATTATTTTTTACTACCTTGTACGAAGTAAAGGAAGTATTGTAATCACAAAAACTTCCGGGTACCATATTTCAACAAAAATATCCATGTTGCCCGCTAGCGAAAGCAATTTAACAATGTTTTTGCATGACATCTGTATGTAAGAACAGAATAAAGGACTCTTTTTCACGAAATGGATTATAAAACTGATTTAAAAGGGATTTAGAAGAGATTTTTTTGTGGCGTCTGCATGTACATACACAGAACTCAAAAAGGTTCTGAGTTATGTACGTGTCGTAACTCGGAACATTGAAATTTTGCATGTAGGCCTGCTATAACATGTAGTTGTGAACCTCCTTTTTTGTTTCAAATTGGCCACAGAAAAAATATATATATATATAGTGTGTCCGTAAAGTCGTGGTGCAGTTTTGTTTGGTCGCAGGAAAGCAACAAAACAAGATAGAAATGGGAAATTTAAGTCAAACAAAAGGAAAACTCTCCAAGTTTCTTTAGTATTATGTGCAAGCATGTGCGCACACAGGTGATGATGCAGCACTGTGAAATGCAAAGGAGCAGATCAGCCCATCCACGCCCACGCCAGTCGAGGTGTGGATCATACAGAGGAAAGTTCAGTGTGTTCTGTGGCTTGCCAAATTCGAATCTGTGACCAAAGTGCAATGTGAGTATCATCGTGTGTGCAATGAACCACCACCACATAGAAATAACATTAATGGATGGGATAAGCAGTTGAAGGATACTGACAGTTTGTTTGATAAACCCCATTTTGGAGGCCATCGGTCAGTGACGAGTCTGTAGAGACTATATAGAAGAGTTACATAAGAAGCTGTTACAAACTGCAGCTGTTGCACATTATCAAACCGACGGATAGACCCAAATGATTTGCGTTTGGTACAGATATGCTTCATAAGGTCGACAATGATAACCAATTTCTGTAGAAAATTGCATTTAGTGATGAGGCGAAATTCCGAATATGGGCTGCTGAAAATCCTCATGCCCACATAGAGAACGAACGTAACAGCCCTAAAGTGAACGTGTGGTGTGGCCTTATGCATGATAAAGTGATAGGACCATTTTTCTTTGTGGAGTAGACTGTGACGGCATGGATGGAGCCCACATCGAACTGCACTGAACAAGTATGAAACTTTAAGAGGTTTTCTTTTGTTTGGTGAAGATTTCACATTTCTATCTTGTTTTGTTGCTTTCTTGTGACCGATCAAAAGTGCACCATGACTTTAGGGATGCACTATATATAGATATATACATATGTATACACAGCCACTCAGTTACTCGGCTCCGTGAGCTCAGTTTTTAAAATTTTTTTTATTGTTATTCTTTATGTTGGTAAATTGTGCATTTTTTCCTTTCAAAATGGTTGAATTATGTTGTTCTTTATCTTCTGATTGAAGTTTTAGTTAACCTGCATACAATAACTGTAGAATTATCAACAATTTAAAAGCTGTTTAAGTGCGACTAAGTCTAATTTTCCTTACCATAGCAACCATATCTGTTTATATTTGAAACTTAGCAGCATGTTGAAAGTCTTTCTGCACCTTCAGTGTCCTTTTGCCTAGTGAGACCAAAAGTAAACTTTTAGTTTTGTGCACCGAAAAATTTGCCATCTCGCCCACTGGCCGAATTGCTTGTTTTTGTGAAGAAACTCTAATTTTAATTGAAAAAAAAATTTTTTTTTAAATTTTTAACTGTATTTGGTGGTGTATGTTTTTCTATATCTTTCAATTTTTAATGAAGATATTTTGAGTTTTTATGTATTTTTGCTTTGCTGCTGAATTAATTGAATTAGAAATATATCTCTAATGAAATTCAAGGAAGTAAGTGTTTCATATTAACAGCAAATATTTGTGGCCAGTCTGTCTCAGACAGAGGAGAATGTTTACAAGTTGTGCGTGCGCATTAGGGTGTAAGCGGCACTGAATAGTCTTTGAAAAAGTGTTTCTGTTTAAAATGTTTAATTTTTTTTAAACATCGTTTTAGATTTATTATAGTATTTGAATAGAACATGTGGCAACGATTAGATAATTCTTTAGATGATAAAAGTTTTGTGCATACTGAGTTACATTATCATATTTTTTAAGTTATGCAAATATATATGTGCTGCAGAATATGATAGAAGAAAGAATTTGTTTAGTTCCAAAATGTCAAGTTTCCTAAATTATTTCGGTTAAAATATAATGAATTTTATGTTCCAGTTTTGATTCCACGTCTTTCTAGATGTGGGATTTATTAAGCTGTAAATTATTAAAGAAGAGTATTTAGCAGTCTTAAAAACATATTTATTAGAAGTTAAGATATCTGGTAGTAATAAAAGTTTTCTGCTAAAAAGCATTCTTAATAAAGTTAGGGAAAAAACTTGACACCAGTGCTTTAGTGCAGGTAGCAAAAACTCTATGATTTTCAGCAAATGTTTTGGTAGTTTCTCAAAAGCTTTTGGCCCAGAAACTTGGTGGCTGTGAGCCCGAAAACAGATCGATCTCATTTTGGACAATGCGCAGAATGGAAGATAGCACCACCAAAATGTAGCTGTAGCCTCATCAACATCAGTAGGCTGGCCAGAGTGCTCTGCTTCTTGAATGTTATAGTCCTTATTTTTGAACTTTCAGTGCCAAACCTTCACAGTGTCATGTGATTATAACATTAGTACCTAAAGCTATATATAATTTGCTGACATTCTTACTGGAAGTAAATGATGGTTCTAATCTGGTAGCGTGGTAGTTCCATTTCAGACGCCTTAAGGATAACAATATCTTTTTACAGATTTCTCCTTTCAAATGCCGAAAATCATTTGACAAAATATGATTAAACATGCCAATATAAACTGTTTGCGCAGATGTTTTATATATATATATATATATATATATACTTTTTTTTTTTTTTTTTTTTTAAACATACAGACAGACTACCTGTGCACCACAGATGTATAACACGGGGCTTACAGAAGTAAGTTAACTAAAACATTAAAAGTTGCATCCATAAATAAAACAAACAAAAGCAGATAATAACAGTTTGGACTTCACAGAAACAGATAAGTTCACTGGCCAAGTCACTCCGAACATTTTCAAATCGTTCTGCAAGCATAATATAGGACCATCAAATGTAGGGCACGAGAAAATCAAATGTTCCACATCCTGAGGTACTCTTTTTGAACATTTACTTAAATTGTTGAATCTTAGATTAAAATGAAACAGTTAATTTGCAAATTTACCGTGACCAGATAAAAACTGAGAAACTTTAAAATTAATAGAGAAGAAAGACTTAGAATGCAGTCTATGGTAAATAGAAGGAAAGACCTTTTTGGTGATCTCAGCATTGCAAGATGAAATGTATTCCTCATTCCACTTAGCTAAAAGCTTCTTATAATGAAAGGACTTCCAATAGCTCTTGATGGCGGGAAAACTTTCGTGAAAACCCGATAATTACTTACTACCAAATGCTGCATTTAGTACCATATGGTGGGGGAGAGGAACCAGTAAGATGAGCTGTGCCAAATTAACAGGACCTTACCCAGATGTCTGTCTTATGGAGGTGTTAAAATTGCTACACATTAAAAAAATTAATTTTATTAAAAGTAAGTGTCAAGCAGTCAACTTTTGCTCTCATAGACAGTCCGAATTTCACGTTCGCTACAACGACATAGTTGTATATTCTGGAGCTTCACCAACACGCTCTTCTTAAAAATGTAAGAAAACCTTCTTTCAGTTCTGAACCTTGGGATGCATTCATGTTTATGCTTCATCATTACCCATATTATATTTTATAAATCAATTTTTCTGGACAAAGGGCAAGGCCCATTTTCAAATTTTGCTTACATATGCTGTCCCAGAAGAAAAAGAAAATTCAAGGTAAATTAATATTTAAAGTTTATTTGAGCAATTCATTGCATAAAATGACTATAAATGTATTTCTACAATTTAAAATTTAAAAAAATCAACTGAAAATTTTTAGATAAAAATTAAGCAAATCAATAATAATTTTCTTCATGTCGAGTCCTTTACCTTGAGATTATATTACCCCCTACTAGTTTAAAACTTTTGTAATTAATTTTTATCATGAATGTAACACACTAATAGTTCATATTTAAAATAATTAAACTTCTTTGTTTAAAAAAATAAATTGGGTTACAAAACAAAGAGGTCGAATAACATGAAACTTGAAAGGGACTGGCATTTTTGCCTATGGTCACACATTTTAATATTTATATCTAAAATATTTCAATTGATTTTTTTTATATATTTTTCGAGTTGTAGAAATATATTTATAGTCATCTTTATGCAGTGCATTGCTCAAATTGAACTTTAAACATAATTTATCTGGAATTTCCTTTACAGCATATGTAAGCAAAATTTGAAAATGGACTGCAGAATATACTCATCATAGGTATAAAAATGCATGAGTATAAATCAGTGGTTCACAACATTTTTTCTATCATGCATCCTTTTCACCATTACTGGATGATCATCCCCCTTGCCTTTCTAAAGCTTGAAAAATACATATGCTTTTATTTAAATTAGATTATTTTTTGTTGTGTTTTATAAATCAAACAAGAAAAAAGTATAGGAAATGTCGATGAATAACAAAACTTGAATAAGACTAATTTTTTACATTCATGAAGTAAAACGCTCAGGTAAATAAAAGGCTGACTGGTTCAGAATTAAGAACTCATGATCTAGATTCATCTGCTCTGATCATATTTTTCTAGTCAATTTTTTTTTTTTTTTTTTTTTTTTTTTTTTTTTTTTTTTTTTTTTTTAAGCCCTAAAGGGCTGTTAATTTTGTTTTGGCATTTTGCATTAAAAACTTTAAATGTTGGTTCACTTTTCAAATTGCTCCCACCAAATATTATCGCCCTGTGTTATATTTAAATAAATTAAATAACAAAGAATCTGCATAAATGTATGTGTGTTTCTCGCATTGTGATTAAGCAATGGTACATAGCGCCATCCTATTTTGAATAACATAATCTTCCATGGAATATAGGCATCTGGAAGCCCGAATTTGAAATTTGTTTTATTATTGATTTCATATTTTGTGACACTTCAGAGAATTTTTTATTAACAAACTCAACAATTTCAAAGCAAACAAGGGCAAAACTGTACAGAAAAAAGCATTTTTATCTCCAGCGCACGAGACTGTGTATCGGAAATTCTAAAGATAGGCCCATTTATAAATTATTTTGCGGTATTGCTGTTGAATTGAATTTTATGGTTTAAGTACAAAGAACATGCTATTTAATAAATAAAGGTAACTCACAAAAGGTTTAAAAAAAGTCCCTTTGGGTGTAATGTAAAATCTGAATTTTTTTTTTTTTTTTTTTTTTTTTTTTTTTTTTTTTTTTTTTTTTTTTATTTTTGAGTTTTTTTTTTTTTTTTTCTGGGGAATTTTTTGTTTGTTAGCAGTAATTTTCCTTAAATTTAGAATTAGCGTGCCCACTGTGTAACTTATGTTCATCTCTGTTTGTCAGTACTAAGGATTTCCTACTTCTGACGGGTTAAGTAAATATTTATTTATTTTTGTAGTTTTTCTCAGATAACTGTAACTGCTTTCAGGCAGTCATTAGTGTTGGCATCTCATTGAGGTATGGACTTTTATTTTGTATATGAAGACTATCTCATAACTCATATACTATCTCATGACTGAATAGTCATGAGAATATTTTGTCATATGTCATGTAAAATATTTTGTTTCATATTGGTTTAAAAGATTTAAATAAATATTGATCTATATAAATTTATATTTATTGATCTCATTGAGGTATTGACATGTGTTGATGAATGAAAGTTTATGGAAACAGATTAAAAATCATTATGAAAATTCAGCAAAAAAGTGCAGTTTAAATACAGATCTTATCAGGCAGATCTAAAAAAAAAAAATTAGGTTAAAAGAGTGGATATCCTGTTTAAAATGAACAAAACTTCAAGGAGACAAATAGAAGATTTAAAATATTTTTTTAGGTATTTCATTAAAATTTTTACAATGTAGTTCCCCAGAGTCTCATATATTATTAAATTTCAAGTCAGCAGAGTGTTGTAAAATATTCCTTGTTGTAAATATTGTATATTTTTGCTTTCACTAAGTAATTGAAGTGACAAATTAGGAAAGTCTTATTCAATACATTTTTAAATTCCATATTTGCCTAATGTTGTAGTTGAAAAAAAATTAATATTAAGAATTAATTTTAATCGTTACATAAAGCAGATCGGATTTTTAGACTGTAGTCTTGATGGGTGGATTTGTTTGCAAAGTATTACTATATATGAAATAATACCTAATGGACCTCTATGAGACATTTTTAACTCTTCAAATTCAACTACAGAATTTACAGATGGTTTCAGTAAACTATTAAAAATATTAATCCTTTTAAAAAAGGTATATTTCACTATTTCTGTATCAAAATTTAGTAATGATTTTAAAAAGTTACAATTTTCTTTAAAACATTTTTCAATAGCTCTTTCAAGTTGTTTCTGGAATTGGAGCCTCAACTGCGAGACATTATATTTCGTTTCTATGAATCTAAATATGCTTCTTGTTTGAAACTGCTGGATGAAATTAAGGTAACTAAACAAAGCATTTTTCAAGATAGCTCTTTCACAGTTGTGAAAACAGAGAAAAGGCAGGGAGATTAACAAATGTTTTAAAGCATTTAGATCCCGAGCGAAAAAAATTAACGAGAGAGTGCCAAGAGTGAAAGAGATTCTGAGCGTAACTTCACAAGGAATCTGCAGTAAAGACAAGAAAATCGGGGGGGGACAAACAAAAAAGAGGGACAGTTACAGGGAAAAATCGAAGACAGTTTGTCAAAATTTTCTCTGCTTTAAATATTATCTAAATGAGTCTTGTGAAAAGGTCAGTCACAAGTTTGATTTGTTTAATTACAAGTGATTAGCTACACAGATCTGGGAAGAATTTATAGGTAATGATGTCCATTGTGGGGGGGGGGAAAGTGGTCAGTTCTCTGCCTCTTGTTCTACTGGGCCAGTTGATGAAATTCAAATTGCATTATTCATGTCGCGAAAGCCTGACTTAGTATATGTATGAGATTTATATATAGCATTGTTCTAATATAGGTATTTTCACACAAAATCTGACTTTTTCTAAAATGACACGCCAATGTTTTCCATGTTTCGATTCTATGACTCAAATTATGCCTAAGTATTACATTTTGTAAAATTTGGTGCGAAATTTGTGGAGAAATTAAAAAATTTATCTTGGCGCTATTTATTCAGTTTGCGCCAAGAATAATTCACTTGGCCAACTATTTAAGTTATAGCAACCTATTTGCCTTTCCTTTATTTCATTGTAAACAAGCGGGGAAAAAAGGCTATTGTTCATTATTTCAAATAATTTTAACAAAGTGCATAAACCACATTTGGTAATATTATCACTTATAACAAATATGCCAAATTTCAAAACACACCAATATGTAAATTCAAGTATATCCTAGGAAATTTTGAATAAAAAAACTAGGTGTACTATACATCTACATTAAGGTGATGGTAAAAATTTTGTAGTTTATAATTCAGAATTTTTTTTCGAAAAGGTTATAAAAATTATTTAAAAATAAATCATAAGAAATGGGTGAATTTTATTCCGAATGAACCTAAATTTCGAGTTATGGAAGAAGGAATCAAGTAAGTTTAGTAAAAATAGGTATTAAAAAATATATATCAAATTCAATTAACGCTGAGGAGCTAATTTTTTAAAAACTACTCGTGCAATTTTTATGAAACGTGGCAGTTTGGCATAATTTGAGTCGTAGAATTGAAATATGGGAAAAAATTGGGGTGTCATTTCAGAAAAAGTCCGATTATTTATTATATTATTATTATTATTATTATTATTATTATTTTCCCGCAGTGTACATGGTAAAAAAAAACAATGCAAAAAAAAAATTCAGAAGGATTTAGAGTTGGAAATGTTTTATTTTTTAAAATCTATTGTATAATTCTAATTTTAATAATAAAATTTTTTTTTTTAAATTGTTTAGGTATGTTTTCTTTTGTATGTTGATGTTTTCTAACTAACAATAAATATCATTAGTTTGGAAATTCATTTTATAAAAAATCGAGAAAATTGTGAACTTGCAGCCGATATGCAACTTTAATCATTTCATCTGTTAAAAATTGCACCAGGGCAGTTGCGTTAACATGTAAATATCCTCTGCTATGTGTTACAATATCATTGCTTATTTATTTTTCTTAGTTATGTGAAGGTATGTCTCCTTTCATATTCGAGATTATCATTGTGGGCATTCTGCATTAACTTTCTATGTTATCACAGTAATGAAATTTAAAGTAATAAAAATAAAGGTGAACATTTATTTGGTCTATTAAGATTCTGGGAAAGAGATTAGAGAATCACAGTTCTCCTCTTCCTTTTTTTTTTTTTTTTTTTTCTTTATAATTTCTTTGAAATTGCAGGACCATTAGCTGTAGCCCAAAAATATTGTTAGTGATGCAACGTTACTTATTTATTTTCAGGCATATCTGCAAATAAAGTGAGTTTTGCTTAAATTGAATTTATTCATCTTAGCAGTAGTTACACAGCATATATACAAAGGGTGTCCACACATTTTTGTAACAGTTTTGGAAAGATTTATATGTGAACAAACCATAGAATTTTATTTTTTAATATGCTCAGTCTGGTAGCTTTTTTGTTGAACTATCTTATTACATCTTGATATCCCAAATAAAAGTCCTTTTCTTAAAACATCAAGGTTGATTTTATTCCACTCCTCCTTCACAATCTTCCAGATTCCATCCAATATTTTGGGATGCCCCTTATAAAGAGCTTGTTTTAAAGGTCCAAATGTACAGTAGTTCATAGGAGACGCATCAGAAGATTTAAACGGGATGCATTTAAAGGGAATAGCTTCAACTCCGATTTCATTTCTATTTTTACAAAAAATAGAGCGGTAGATTTAGAGGTATGGCTTGTAGCCTTATATTGAGGGAACATAACAGATTGAAATTGTTTGGATAAAGAGACGGAATTTCTTCTTTAAAAATAGGTGTTAAACCATATTTCTGATAGTAATCCGAATTAATTTTGATATTTTTTTCTACTTTCCTTATTTTAAGTTTTCTGTTATAAGAAAATCCAGTAATAACCATAAAACCTTTGAAAAACTTTTCCTTGATTTCTCTGAACCAACATATTAAGTCTTTTTCTCCTCTTTTTCGGTAGTAAATTGATCTTTTTCTATTGCAGTCAGATAAGTATATCTAAACCTCATCCATTGTAACTATATGTTTCCATTTTTCACCTGCCAAATAATTTTCATATGGCAATCTCCACATAGTCACATGCCAAAAAACATGGTTCGCCATCAGGCTATGAGCGTCACTTTTTTTTTTTTTTTTATTATTAGCTTTAACTCTTTACGGCATGCAAAAAATCGGAGTTTTGATTTAAAAAAAAAAAAAAAAAAAGGTAGGCAGTCTAATTAGACCTAGAGGAGTATACAAGTAAAATTTTGTGAAGATAGCACTTATTGTTTATTTCTGTGGGTGTGCCCGAAGAGGGCACAGTGATTGAATAGAACTTCGAAAAGAGTGCTGAAACGAGCATTGTTGTCAATGAACTGACCGATGAGATGCGGAGAAACAAAGAATACAGACTCTCAGTTGTCCTAGATTATCGGTGAGCCCGGTCTGGGCACACCGTTTGCCATTTGATTTTAGGCAAGATTTCAAGGTAAAAATTTAAAGCTAGTATAGAATAATAAGATTAGCATACCGCCAAAAAAATAACGGAGAAATTTCTTTTCAAACAATTCCTTTTATACCCTAAAAAAAATCTGGAAGATTTTTTTTGAAAAGTGAGGGTCTTAAAAAACTAAACATGGCTAAAATATATGGACTGGTTTGTGTTGAGCTGCCATCTACTATTAATAAAGAAGGTTCAGAGTAACCTATAAATCCTTTTTCATTCAATTTTTCTGTGCGTACAAAAGGAAATTTTTAGGTGTGCCGCAAAGGGTTAAATCAGTTTTTATAATTTTGTTCACAGTTTTACAAAGATTTTAAAGAATTTGTGAAAAACTCTGGAAGTTTTTTTCCTTTAAAACATGAGATGTGACTCAAGATTTATTAAGAGCTGTATGTAACATTGTGTGGGTATGCATTTTTTTTTTTTTTTTTTTTTTTTTTTTTGTTTTTTTTTTTTTTTTTTTTTTTGTTTGTTTTTTTTTTCCCCCAAGTCGGATTTTATGTTTAGAAATATTAAAACCATGCTTTTTTTTTTTTTTTTTTTTTAATAATTGAACAAGAGTATTTCTGTTCAGACAATGCAAAAATATAGCCTTTGATCCATTGTTTATTTTTCAGCGACATTTTAAAGAAAAGAATATTTTTTTAATGCTTTTGATGATAATCAATCCTTATTCCAATTGGATGCCAGTCACGTTTGTATTTAAAAATTAATATTTAAATTCATGGAGAAAATCGAAATTGTTACAGAAGTGTGTAAACACCCTCTGTGTATATGGTAAATAGATTATTATTATTACCTATGCAATTTATTTAGTATTTAAACAGTGTAATTATAGTGCTTAGTATGATTAAATTTTTCCCTCATTCTGCAATTTGATTTATAAAAATATCAAATTTTTAAAACAAGAGCATGGGCCCAAGGGGAACGACGACATAATTTCAAGTAAAATACAGTATTTTCATAAATTTTATTTTCATTATTGAAACCAAAAATAAGGTCGTGAAGTTACAGAACTGAATTAACTTCAGAGACAAAAATTTTGTCACAGAAATTGCAATGCTTAACTTGATTTGTTCAATAATAAGAGTGGTTGAAAACCACCGAGCATTGTTATTATTTCTGCTTTGATTATCAAGTAATTATGAGTTTTGATGATATTTATCATGTGTGATATAAATACGAACAAGTTTTGGAAAAGTCGGGATGAATTCTTCTTCCACTGTAAAATGACTTAAATCTTGGTTGCTGTTGTACGAGACAAAAATTGTCCTAGCAAAGGATTTCATTTAAAACGAGATTCATGGCTCTTTCCTTATTAGGCAAGGGGGAAGTAATGGAACATTTTTAGTTTAACTGGGTTCGATTCAAGGTGAAGGGGTCAGCTTGATGGGCAATTTTGTGTTTTTTCTTCCTTGTACGAAGTAAAAAGGAAGTGTTGTAATAAAAAAATTCGGGTATCATATTTCAATGAAAATATCCATTTTTTGAAATTTTGTATACAGGATTGCTAACATCTAGATGTGCACCTTATATTTTGGTTGCAATTGGCCACACCAAGAGTTATATATACTCGGCTCAGTGAACTCAGTTTCTTTATTTTTATAAGTTTGCAAATTATGCATATTTTAAAAATGATTGAATTATGTTGTTCTGGTTAAGATTTTTATGCCTTTAGTTAGCCTGCATGCAATAATTATGGAATTATCAACAATAGAAAAGGTTTTTAAGTGTGGCTAAGCTTATTTTTTTTTTACCATGGCGGCCATGTTTGTTTACATTTGAAACTTGGCAGAATAGTGGATTTGTTGCCAATCTAGAGAAACTTAAGCTTCACAACAACAAAGATAATGCCTTCATTTATTATTGTGAATTAAATCCTGCTTAATCCATTCTGGAATTTATTTGAGGAAATAAGTGTTTAGGATTTACTTCGTAATTTTTAATATAGATGTTTTGAGACTTTATGTATTTTTGCCGTGTCGCAAAGTGAGAACTGAATGAATTGAATGAGAAATGCTAAATCATCTGTGAAAAACTTTTTCTTTTTTTGTTTGTTTAATTTTTTTATACATCTTTTTAGATTTATTATATTATTTGAATAAAACATGTGGCAATGATGAGATGATTCTTCAAATGATATAAATTTTGTGAATTCTTAGTTATAAAATGAATGAAATGTAATGCTGTTAAGTGAACCTAGCACCAGAGTGTCACTATGATAAACAAATATAGTGAATTTTAAAGAGTGCATTTATTCTATTATGGTTTATGCGCTATCGACGAAGTATATTTAATTCAATCCAATAAGTTTAAATGAAATGCAAGAAAAATGTGTATAATTTAATATTCCATACAGTGATGTTTTTCCCCCACATGCAAGGACAGCATCAGAAATGGTGCAACCAGGGCGGTCGCACCAGGTGGCCGCATTCAGGGGTGGCAGAAGTTTTAGAATTTAGAGAAGTAATGTACAGTAAAATTTAGTGATGGGAAATTTCTTGGAATTTAGGAAGGTTGCAATAAAATTTAGGTCCCACAGAGATCGCACCAAGCAGCAGAAAGCCTAGCACGACCCTGCTTACACGTATCTTGTTATAATCATGTAGACGAAATCTTAAGCAGAACTCTGAAGGGATGAACAATGTTTAGTTATACTTGATATATATGAAGTCTTTTTTAATAAAAATGATGGCAAACTATAAGTTACCTAATTTTAAAGTATTCCAAAAATCTTTTAATGTCTTTATTAAGTCTGTTGCCATGAACATCTATTTAAATTTTATTTATATTGGCATCCTTGAACATAATTCTGGTTTTGATTGTAGTATTTCAGTCCCTATTCATCTGCAGACATGAATAAAATGGCTCAGGCTTTTAATACTACAGTGAGTGCTTTAGAAGATGAAATCATGCAGTTGATTCTCGATAATCAGATTCAAGCGAGAATCGATTCTCACAATAAGGTATGTAATTATCAGGTGTGTGCATTTCTGTATATTGTAGTTATTATAACTTCAAGTATCTTATAAAATGATATTAAAAATATTTATCTTCTGCCCAGTTACTGAAATATTCTGCTTGTAGTTTTTATTTCAAGTTTTTTTTTTCCTCTAGATACTGTATGCCAAAGACATTGATCAGAGGAGTACTACGTATGAGCGGGCCATTAAGATGGGTAAAGAGTATCAGCGACGCACAGCGGTAAGAACTTTTTTTTTACGTTAATAATGTTTTATTTTATAATGATGATGATAAAGTCAAACTCAATTACAGGAAGTTAGTTATTCATTTTAAACTGTCTAACGAGTAGATGGTGAAATGCTGTTAGGGAAAATTTCGTAGCTGCCAACTCTTCCATTTTTACACAGAGACTTCTGATTTTTCAACAAGTCTTCCAGTGGATCATCCAGTCTTCCATTTTTTAACCTGTTCAGTGTCATGTTTTAACTCTGAGCGTTAACCGCACTCAGCCGATTATTAATATTTATTGCTTGAAAGTGGGGCTACAGGCTTGGATAAATGCTGCTGTGTGATTGATTGCTTCAAAAAAGCCAGTAGGCAAAACAGCCAATCAGAAAGAAAAAAGTTCCCCGAGAAAAACAAGTTAACTCTGGAGCGGCACACTAGTGCCAGTAACAGGTTAATTTTTTAGCTTTTACTATGGAAAACTACTAAGCAACAAATTTCCTCACAGTAAATGAAATTTACTGAATTGATGAAACTTAAATTGTAGAAAATGCATTACCTTGCTATGCTGGCCAATCTGTGTGTTTGACCAACCGACCTCTTTTAGCCCTACAATCTGACACCTCTCAAAGTCTTGTAGACACATTAGGTTATTTCAAAGCAGGAGAGATGAAAAATGAGTAATGCTTTCACTGGGACACGGACCTCTCGAATACGCACTGAGTGTGCTGACCACTACACCACGAAGGCATACTAAGAAGGTGGGAGAAATACCTTATATACTCCCCCTTTTAAAAGACGATTGGAAATTAGGGGACCCAGTCGCCAAATCCAAATATTTTATTTTATATTATTTAAATTTGTGGTACACTATTAAATTTTATCCCCACAAATACTATGTACTTTGATTATTAATTTTATTTTAATCTTTTTAACAGTGAAAGAACATAAAATTTAGAATATCAATTTAAAACTTAATATATTTTGCAGTTGGAATCATATTATTAGCTTAAAGGGTATTAACCCAGAAGGGCTATTAGTTTAAAAATGGCAATTTGTGTTGATTCACTTTTCAAACTGTTGCTACCAAATATTATCGCCATGTATTATATTTAAGGAAATTAAATAATGAAGAATGTTTGCATAAATGTTTCTTGTGAAGAAACAACAGTGCATAGAGCCATCCAATTTTGAATAACATTGTCCTTTAACCGAACATGGGCACTTGGAAGCCCAAATTTATTTTATTATCTATTTAAAATTTTTTTAAAATTTTAACGAATTTTTTATTACAAGCTCAATGATTTCCAAGCGAGCAATGGCAACACTGTTCAGAAAAAAAAACCTTTACATCTCCAGTGTGCAAGACTGTGTATCAGAAATTCTAAAGATATGGTGTTTTTAAATATTTTGTGATATTGCTGTTGAATTGAATTTTATGTATTTTAAGTGCAAAGAACGTAATATTTAATCAGCAAAGATAACACACAAAACATTTTTAAAAAAGGCCCTTTTGGGCATAATATAACAAATAAGAGCCTTCAGAATTTATTTATTTGTTTATTTTCTCAAAGGGGCAGTTTGTCCTGAAAAACTATTAATTTCATTTTGGCATTTTGCGCAAAAAACTTTAAAAAGGCTGTATTATTTTCCAAATCATTTTTACCCTGTCTTGTATTTAAAGAAATTAAATAATGAAGAATCTGCATCAATGTATGTATGTTTCTCGAATTGTGATAAAACTACGGTACCTAGAGCCATCAAAATTTGAAAAATGTAATCTTCCATAGAATATGGGCATGTGGAAGCCCCAATTTGAATTTGAAATTTGTTTTATTATCGATTTCAGATTTTGTATGCTGAGATACTTCAACGAATTTTTGGTTAAAAAACTAAACGATTTCAAAGCAAGTAATGGCAACACTGTACGAAAAAAAAACATTTTTATCTCCAGCATGGGAAACTGTGGATGGGAAATTCTAGATATACTCATTTTAAAATTAATTTGCGATATTGCTGTTGAACTGAATTTTATAGTTTGAGTACATGGAACATGATATTTAATAAATAAAGTGAACACACAAAACGTTAAAAAATGCTCCTTTGGATGTAATTTAAAATCTGGAACCTTTCAGACTTTTTTTTTTTTTTTTTTTTTTTTTTTAATTTTTATTTAATAATTGCTGGCAAATATCTTGGTCTTGTTAATCATGCATTTTAAAGTGAATTTCATTATGTTTGGAATTCCTTTGAAAGGGCATTGCCACACAGCGTAAAAAAACTTCAAGTTTTTACAGGAAAATCACCTGGTTTTTCAGATTTCAAAGTTGGCAACTAAGATGTATTTTATGCAGAAAAATGGGGAATATATTTGACAGTTAAAAAACCTATAGGGTGATATTATCACTTGCCTTTTAAACCCATTTCAAGTCTCATGTATGATTTCATGGCACCTAATGAAACGACATAAAAAGTGCTATTGAATGAGAGAAAGGATGGCAAATAACAGGTGCCGGTCTCTCACATTCACACATGTCAAATAAAGAGTTAAAATATATTATTTTAAAATTTCCTTCTCTTGAAGTACATGTGTTTTTAAAATTCCAAAGAAGTATATCATCACTTTTCTAAATGAACCTCTTTCTTGTGCCAACCAGTGACTGGCTCAATAAGATTGCAGAAAACTGGTAATTCAGCATAAGACTCTAACTGTTATGGATTTTCCGTTCTTTCTACAGAAATCCCTTCAAAACTGCCATCTACAGAAAATATCGAAAAAATTGGGGATTTTACTGAAAACTTACTGATTTACTGGCAAAGGAAATGGTATGCTGATGACATCATGTACTGCATGTTAAATTCATCGTCTTGCTGATTTTGTAGGGTGATCGATCCTGATTTAGCAAATTCCAATCCTTATCTTTCCGATTGAGTACCATACAGATCCCGTTTGGTTATGTTATGGCAAGAAAACATAGGATGTTTAGGCAAACGAAATGGTATGCTCGTAACATCATGTATTGCATGTTAAATTGATGGTCTTGCTGATTTTGTAGCGTGATTGATCCTGGTTCAGCAAATTCGGACCTGTAGCTTTCCAATCAAGTGCCATACAGATCCGTTTGGTTATGTTATGGCATGAAAACGTAGGATGTTTTCTTTGTGAGTTCTGATTAAACTGGAACTTTCCTTGTGATTAAACTAAAACTGAAAGAAAGTTTGTGAATTATGCCACCTCAGAAAAAAAAAGGAAGTTGTAAAATTGTCATTAGCATGCTGACTACCGATAAGTTTTGCTGTAGGGTGGAGTCTGTGTTTTAACCAGGATCCAAGTCCCGAGAAATTGGCTCACCACATGGGAGTTTCATGTTTTTCTGCATGATTACAAGCCCTGCAAGTTTTTTCTTAGCCAGTCCTTCACAAAGTCATCTCTCCACTTAGATAATACCTCTTTTGTGCTTGGCCACTTAACCTAATTCAGTTTAATGATTCTAATCACTAACCTAATTCAGATTAATGATTCTGTGGCTTTGATCAATTGTGATAACTAATTTATATTTTTAAAGGATATTAGTAATGAAGTTAAAATCCAAAATGAGTAAATTTGCGAAATCGAAGATTTTGCTACAGGTGTTTGACCATGCATGTCAATTTTTGTGAAAATGAGCAGATATATAGTGTTAAGGTGTTTTGCCACAATTTGAATAATCATAGATTTTATGCTGAGATATGTTATGATACAGTTTTTTTGCTTAGGGTACTTTTTTGTTATTTCTGGTCCCATTTTACTAGCGATAAAAGAGACATCTTTCGATGACCTTTATCTAAATTTTTTGGGGACTGTGCTTGTCACCATATAGTTGGTACATTTTTAGGATTTTATCATATCTAGAAGCTTATGTCAACCTCCTGCAGACCTTACTAGACTGATAGTAAGTTACCACGTAGTCTGAAACAAATCACAAACTCTTAAGAAAATTAAAATAACCTTTAAAAAAAAAAAAAAAATTCTAAAATTAACAGAAGGGCACTTGCGACTTGCAGATATTTTAATTAGCAGAAGATTAAGTTTCAAATGTGGGTAACATAGTCTGAGACTACACATAAAATAGGCTTGCTCAGATAGTTATGGTGCATGTTTTAAAATGTCAGTTTTAAAGATGCTAACGCTGGGCCACAATTTAGCCAGAGCTGCAAATCGTAAGAGAAGATGCGTCTGACAAAAACTCGACTAAACATTAAAATCCTTGGCTTACAAATACACAAAATAACTTATTTGTATTCTGTTAAGAATTATGAAAAGGAGAAGTTATTGTAAAGGTTTAAATTAATGGGTTACTTAACATAAAATACCTTATTTATTGGAATGTCTATCAAATACTAAAAGACAGGATTTAATATGCTGCCAGAAATGATAACTGATAGTGGAATTATTTGCATTATACTATGTAAGAATTTGTATTAGTTCAATGAATGCTTACTAACTTATCTAAAGCCATGCTGGAAGGTTGTAACCAGAATAGTGCTAACGGCGATATTTATTGTAAAATAAACAAGCACTTTTTAAAAATGACTAAAACCCAGAACATAAAGATCTTACAGACAATGTATAAGGTTTTTCTTCCGCCTTCTTAGCATGTGTTATGTCGCGGAGCAAAAACAATTTTATTTTACGCCTGACTGCCACTGGCTCCGACATAGCAATGTGAATACTCTACATCTAAATTTTTTTCCAGAATTTTAACTGTTTATTTTATAGAATTCTATTCATATATTTGCAAGTTATACACTATAAACACAATAACAATAATTTGAACTTATCTGCACCAGCGTGAATAAGCCTGGCATAATTTCTGAACTCGACGCAACTTTAGGAGGAAAAATACCACAAATTCAAACACAAGGGTTTCTTTCTTTTCAACGCAGCTAGTTTTCTTAATATATTTTACTAATATCCGCAGCGGATTTCATTTCATTCACCCAAAACTCAAATTTGGTAACGCAATAGTATCGCAAAAGACGCAAAAAACATCGACTCAAAATAAAAAAAAAAAAAAAAATCTATAGAATATCATCTGCTGTTGCCATTCCAGCACTGCCAAGTTTTTCTTCCTGCAGCTGTTGCCAGACTTATCCTCGCTGTATGTGAGAGGTACAACAGCATGCTTTCGTAGTGTAGTAGTCAGCATACTCGGTGCGTATTCAGGAGGTATGTGGTTCGAATCCCGGCGAGGGCGTTGCTCATTTTTCACATCTCTTGCTTAAAAAATACCCTAATGTCTCTACAGTGGCGCCCGAACTAGAAAAGGTGGTAGATGATGGTTCTCCACCACCAGGATCTGGTGGCGATTGGGTTTCCTAATCCCTAGTTGCCCTTTAAAAGGGGGAGTATATAAAGTATTTCTCCTGCCTTCCTGGTATGGTGGTGTGCACACTCGACGCGAATTCGAGAGCTCCATGGTTCGAGTCCTGGCAAGGGCGTTGCTCATTTTTCATCTTTTCCTGCTTCGAGATAACCTAATGTCTGTATAAATGTTACTGTAAGAACCAAAGAACATGATAATATTTATGGATTGCAGAAGAAGGTTATTTAGTGCCAGAAAATGGCAGTGAGTATGTCTCTTTTGTCTTTCACCAGTATAATTGGAGGTAACTAAAAAATATCAACTTAAGGAATTATTAGATGCTTTATTAATATTATTTGGATCACTGAGAGTTATTTAATTATGGATTTTTTAAAACTAATTTTATTTGTATAGGGTGAAAATATGAAAATGTACAAAAAATTTTCTGGATTCTATTTTATAATCATAATTAGGGGAACTGAGAGCTTAATTAATAATAATGTTTTGGTTGGTCGATTTTTGTCTTTCCGACAATTTCATGACTTGCTTTAGTACTTTTAAATGAAGAAAATAAAAGGACTAAAAATTAAATTTGTACTAAATAATTTTAATAATCATTGTGCAAATTGTTAATTTTTTTACATTATGTTCTGATGTTCTTAATCATTTAAATTTGTCTCTGAATAATTTGCAACTGTTTTATTGTAAACTAAAAGATTTAAATTTTAATCTAAAATATCTGTTATTTTCCAGCAACTCATTTTGAGAGCTGCCATGTTGCGTAATAACATACAAGTTAAGGTGAGTGCGTGATGATTTTCTGGGCATGTTGCTTTATGATAATTTTTTCATTTTTAATTAGAGTTTTATATCAGCTTAAATTTATTCTGGTTCTAATTTCAGAGTTCTATTGTTTCAGTTTGAGTGGGGAAATGAACTGGAGTAGGTCTACTACTATTTTATAATTAAAATGTTTCTGATTTAGTTATTTACCTCATGTATATAATAAAATATTACCAAATAATAAATTTTACATAGTCCCTTTTTAGGATATTAGATGAATGTTAGTCTCGAAGCATGATTTGGCATTGTTTCACTTTTCATTAGAGTCTGTAGCGATTTGTAAAAATGTACGATATTATCTTTTATATTTAATCTGTTATTACATAAAAAACTAAACCATTTAAAAGCAATAGAGGCGATTCTTAAGAGCAATAGAGGCAATATATACATAATTTTTTTTAGCCCAAAGGGCTTTCATTAGCTCAGAAGAGCTTTTAATTTCATTTTGGCATTTTGCGTTGAAAACTTTAAATGTTGGTTCATCTTTCAAATCATTGCCACCAAATATTATTGCCCTGTGTTATATTTAAAGAAATGAAATAATGAAGAATCTACATAAATGTATGTATGTTTCTCACATTGTGATTAAACAACGGTACATAGAGCCATCCAGTTTTGAATAACATAATCTTCCACGGAATATAGGCATATGAAAGCTTGAATTTGAAATTTGTTTTATTATTGATTTCATATTTTGTAACATTTCAATGAATTTTTGATTATCGAACTCAACTATTTCAAAGCAATCAACAGCAAAACTATACAGGAAAACACATTTTTATAATCTGTGCGCGAGACTATGTATCGGAAATTTTAAAGATATGCTATTTAAAAGTTATTCTGTGATATTGCTGTTGAATTGAATTTTATGGTTTAAGTGCAAAGAACATTTAGTAAGCAAAGGTAATACACGAAAGGTTTAAAAAATGTCCTTTGGAGCATAATGTAAAATCTGAAAGCTTCAAACTTTAATTAATTGTGTTCCTATTGTAACCACATTCTTTGGAAATTAAAATATTCGTATAATTTTCTTCTCTCAATTTACGCAAATTAAATTACTAAAGAAGGGGGAAAGCGTGAATATGCAAGTGTATTTTGTTCATGAAATATTTTTATGAAGATTTATCGTGATATGAACCTTAACAACGTTCTAATTATGAAAGGTGTTGGACTCTTAGTAACGTTCATCTTAAGGAAATGATATAAGCTAATTCTCAAAACAGCTTTACACAATTTACTCAAAATTAATTTTTTCCCTTTTAATCCCAATCTGATTTAAATAAAAATGCATAGAATTTATGGTAATCTGAATATGCATGGGAACATCTGCATCTTAACATTGGAATGCTCTATATCTTCTATATATTTAAATAGAGAAAATATTTGAATTCTGTGAAATATAATTCTATTAAAATATTGAATATTTTAAATTATATAAATATTCAATATTTTTACGGAATTGGATTTTATCATGAATTCACTATGCATTTTTAATTAGATTCACAAGGGGGAAAATAACAATATTCTTAAGAACTGCGTTTATTGTTTTTAACAGTTTAGCTTGTTAATAACTGACTACTAAATAAAAAAGAAAAATAATCTTCTATTTTTCTAAATGGTAACAGACTCGAATGAAAAGCGAAACAATGCTAAATCATGTTTCGAGACTAAAAGCCATTTTGTACTTTTTAGCTAAGTGTTGTATTTAAAACTTTTCTGTTTTTGAATCCAAATGAGTTTCCAATAAATCTAAAATATTACTGTATATACATAACCGGAGGCTCCATTACCGCCTCCCCCAAATAAGAAAACTGTGTTTATGATTTATGTATTGAGTACAGTGCAGGATTTACGTGCAAGGCTACATCAGCTATAGCTTAGGGCCCCCAAAAAATTAAAATTAGTTATAACATACTTATAAAGGGCTCCATATCTCAAATATGTTAGGGCCTTATTGAGTCTAAATCCGGCTCTGATTGAGCATACTGTAAGATAAAACTTTGCTCTTTGATGATATCTTAGAAATTGTAGGTAAGTTTCATCTTTTTTTGAGGAATTGTGCACATTCCATGCCCTCTTCTGTTAATGGATAATGGGTGAAATGTGCAAATAATGAGTAATGGAAGCAATAGCCTCTTTAATTCTGTCTCTTAACTCTGGCAAATCATTAGGTAGTGATGGAACGTAGATGCAGTCTTTTATAAAGCCTCAATGGGGGAAAAAAATTTTTTTTATGGCATAAGGTCGGGTGAACAGGGAGGTCAACAAAAGAGAGCTGTCGTCTTGACCAGTCTGACTGATCGGGAACTTGACATTCAACCATTCACGTGGGATTCCAATGGGGAGGGTCTGCATCTTGTTGCCAAATAAAGTTTACAAGTTCAACCTCTACTAACTGAGAAAAGATTCATTCTTACAATGCATTCAAATAAGCTACCCTTGTTACAGCAGTTTCAATGAAACAAAATGGTCCTTACATTTGATTTCGGGACACAGTGCAGAAAATGTTCAATTTGGGGGAATCCCTTTGGTATTCTACAAGTTCATGAGAATGTTCTGGCCCCCAGATATGAACATTGTGGGTAACCTGGACGAAAAGTTGAGACATAACACCACACAGTCAAGAAAGTCATCTTCTCGTTCAAACACTTCACTTGCAAAGTTACAACATACACCATAGTCACATGGCTTTAAAGCGTGTATAAACTGTAACCAGTATGGGCATGTGTAAATGTTTTCTTAAAATCTTGCAAACTGTTGTCTGTTTAAGACTTGATTTCTGAACAGATTTTTTAGGAAATAAGATGCTCCGACACGGTCCACGTACTCTACACACACTTTTGGTCATTCCGTGCATTTCCCACATCAGGTTGTTTCGAATTGCCTATACCATGAGTGGATGTTTTGTATCATGGGAGATTGTAATTAAACTTTAAAGGACATCCACAGTGAACTGAAATTACAGATTCACTGTTGGCAAATTGCAGTGCGTACAGGGCACTGCAAGTGGGGGGGGCTGGTAATTGTGCATGTCCCTGTCTAAAATTGCTTTAGTTACTCTTTAATTGTGAACCTCTAACGAAAACTCTACAATGCCTACAATTGGTACTATTAAAATTTATAACTGGGACATTCTTTAATGGACATACTGTAATTATACACAAATAGCTTTTCCTTGAAAAGTCAGAAATGTGTATTGTAAATGTAAGAATGACTCATTTTAATGCATATGGAAAAGTTAAGTATTCATTTGCAAATGAGTGGGAAGAAAATTGAATGCGTTAGATAACATCAATAACTGTTATAAAAAGTTGAAAAAATGAAGTAATATTACTTGAAGTCTAAGATTTTGTAAATTATTTCAATTTAATTTTAATATTAATTGTATTACTTTTGCTTTTGGGAGATTTAGAGATTGTACTGGTTTTATATCTCATTTCCTTCATGTCTTTGGTGTTTTAGTTATAAATTTAATACTCTTATATATATATACAGTATATGTATATATATATATATATATATACTGTATATATATATATATACACATACATATACCAAGTTCCAAAAATTAAGAAAAATTCACCAAAATAGTGATAACTCATTCAAAAAATAAGCCAAACTGTATAAAATTTGAATATGTTGTTAAATAAGAATTGCTCAGTAAAACTGCAGTATGCAAATTAGTAGAACTCCAGTCGGAAAAGGTAATTTGCAAGGAGCATGAAATTGCATGTTTCAGAGCAAGCCTGCAAAATTTGGTGTTATTATTGAGATGAGAAATCTGGGATAACCAATTTGCAACAATGACCTCCAGGCATCATTTGCCCAAAGAACTATGATTGAGAGCTTCGGAAGACTAGAGGCAGGACAAAGTTGGACGAAAGTGGTCAGATGACTAAATGTGAGTTCTATTGTGATTCATACATAGACTAAGGCAACAATTTCTAACCACAGATTCGGAATCCAGGAGTTTCAACTAAGGATAGGCAATCACTAGGACAGGCCTTGATGACCAATACTTGTTATATGCATGAAGGAAAAGAACTTTAGCTCTGATTCAACTCAGATCCTCCCTTGCTTCAGCCACCAGAAGGTTTGTGTCAACATCAACTGTTCATAGAATGCTTCATGAAGGAGGTCTGGATGCAAGGTCATCAGCCATTTGTGTACTTGGCATGCCATAGAAGGGAGCATTTGAGATGAGCTCATCAACATGTCCATTGGACAGCTGGAGGGCTGTTCTCTTTACGATGAATCCAAATTTAGCTTCGAAAGCGACAATATACATTTGATTTCAAGAGAACCTGGAAACCATTATCATTCATCAAACGCCCGTCAAAGAGATGCATACAGAGGAGGAAATGCCTGTGTGGTATCTTTTTGGGTGGATGCACTTTCTACGTGAAACCATGAATGCTCAGACCTTTGGGGATGGCATCCTTGAATGCTTATGTGCACCCTTAAGGGCAATATGTGATAATTTCTTGCTACTGAACGACAACACTAAGACTGTACAAGGTTCACATCGTGGATGATTATCATCAGTGCATGGAATGTCCATCTCAGGTCACTGCACCTGAATCCTGTTGAGCATGTTTTGGATACTTTGCTTATGTGTTGTATTGCTTTAGGGGAGATCCTCTATATTGAAGGCAATTTTCCTATACCAAACTGGCACATTCAGTTTTTTCATTTTATACATATACTAATTTCTACAATACCATAATTGTCTGGTAAATTTTTTTTCATGTTATTTTATACCTTACTATGTGTTCTATACTGTGGGTCAGCTTCATCAAATTTTACTTGTAACTTTTTGAGTTCTTGTGATTTTTCCGTAATTAATGGTAATCAGTATATATATATATATATAATAATCATTATCTTCAAAAAGTAACATAGCTTAATCTAGCCAGAGAAATATTTTCTTTTAATTGTGAAATTAAAACAAATATTTGAGTTCTTAAAGTTATCAAGTAGTAGTTAAGTTGTTTTCTGTTTTGTTAATTTAAGTCACGCAGTACTTATAAATTAAGAATTTCATATAGAAAACGGAAGTGGATGAAAAATTAGTTCTGATCATTGAAATTGTTAATTACATTTCTGTTAAACTTTATTAATAAATTGCTGGAAATTTCTTCACATAACCTGGTAGAAACATTAAATTGTTTAAAGAAAAAAAGAATACTTACCAATTCTGTGATAATTTCTGTTCGTATATATCTTCAAACTTTGTCGACTCGCAGAACCATTAGAACTGTAAGGCGTTTTCTAGAAATCCCATCCCACCCTTAGAAAAATATCTTTAAATATTATTTTAAGTAAATCAGTATGTCACGTAGGTATTTTATGTAAAGAAAATGAAAAATATTGCATTTTTTATTAAAAAATTTTAACATAAAATGAATGTAATTTACTCATTAATATCATTAATTTGGGCTCCAGGTTTCACAACTGGAATGTGCTCTCATTCCAAAGGTAATGAGATGTATATTTGTAGTTTTTAGTTAAGTAAATTTAGTTAACCCTTTGCTTTAGAAAGGTGACTTTCTTTCACCATGTGATTTGATGCTGCAACTCTAGAGGAGACTCTCGCTCACCACTTGGTTTAATAAGGAAACTCGATACGCAGCAATAACAGTTTACATTTAGTTTTTTCAAAGCGGGTTCGTGTGTTCTTTCTGTGTAATCTTATGAAGTGTAAAATTAAGTGGAGATAAGATTTTCTTATCTGAAATCTTATCTGTCACAAAGTCTGTTCTCGGAGAAATGAACCTGGAGAAAGGCATCAACCAATGTATTATTGCAATACTTGCCCCGACGAGCCGGGCATTCCATCTTGGGAATTTTTACATGAAATATCATACACAGAAAAATTAGACTAATATTTAAGAAATTACGTTTATAAAGGTGCAAAGATATATAGAATAAAATATAAAAATTTTGTAAATTAATTTATGTGTGTAGTGATTTTAAATTACTGGAAAGAAATGTGTCAAAAAAGGCTGCGAAACGTCTCAAGTTGCCGTGTGATGCATGAAAAAGGCCCCGATTGCAAAGGGTTAATAAGTTATAATTTTCTTTTCCAATTTTAATTTTGACTTGTGGCATCCCATATCATGTATGAAATTGCAATTTTTGTTTTCCTATAAATGATCTTATGATGATTTCTTTGAATGGTATATGTAGAATGTAAATGCACATTTTTACGTAGTATTTATTTTCTAGAGCCCACCACGTGAAGGGTCCCAAGGGAATGAATTAAGCATGACACCCGTAAACAGCACTCCAAGAACTTAAAATCTGATCAATAAATTTTCATTATTTGCTGCCATGATGTATTCCTGCATTTTGTGAAAAAGATCTTGTCTAATCCATAGTTTGTGTGGTTTCCCTGTTTCATTTAACTACGTATTCACTCTGCTTAACATTTAAGAAATATAAGAGTAGATATAAGATGCAGTATTGCTTTGTAGTTAATACATGAGAATCCATTTTTTATCTTAGTTTTCAGGCTTAGTATTACATTACACAGTTAAGTACATATTTAAACGATATGTGCAACATAAACATCTGTTGCATTTCTTTTTCATAATAATCTTGTATTATTTCCCTTCAAAAAAATGATGTGGATTTTTTTTAAAGTTGCATTGGATCTTGATGTTTATTTTTGAATGTATGTAAATTTTTTATTAAATAAATTTTTTATATGTTCAATTTGTATGCACATATGCAGTTACCAAATATTTTAACACATAATAAGTACTTAAAAAATAAGCAAAGCCTTTAAAAAATGTTTTTATATATGATGTAAACTACGGTGTCATTTTGGTGCTTTTCTGTTATCAGGATTGGATTTAGAAATGTATGTCTATATGTACCCCCACACACAAACACACACACGCATATGTGCATTCATACATATATGCATACATTTCTGAAAAAACCGTTGTTTTCATCAAAATTCTAAAGCCCACATAATGCATGTATAAAATGTTTGTGTGTGGGGGTACATATAGACTTTTTATTACATAATTGTGAAATAATTTGCATAGTAGTTTAAAACTTCATTCAAATTCAGTTTCTCTGAACTTTGTAAAACTCATGAGTGGCGAGTTTGTCCTGCATTTAAAAACCACAGTCTTTTTTGGACCATAAAGTGCACCTTTTTATTTAAAATTGAAGTTTATCTTACTAATTATCTGGTTTTACATATAGTAAACCCTGGTGCATTTTATTGTCTGAAAAATACAATACATCCAGTTTCTTTTCCCATGTTAATTTTATGTACGTACACATTGCTTTAATCTGAACAATTTCAAAAATTCAATTATTGTTTATGCAAAAGCATAACAAAATTAAAAAGAGTACAAAACTTGGCAGTGCAAGACCTTTGAAAGTGTATTCTGCACTTCATGGAAATGAAACTGATTACATTTTAGGATTGCTCATGAAAATATATTACCAAAACAAAAGTAACGTATCTTTGTGCTGGACTCGCAAACATGTTCAGGATATCGAAGCTTTGTTCATACTATTCGAGATACCTTTAGATTTTGAAATATAAAATTATCATAATTCTTGTTCATCACTTTGTTTCAGATCCACCCACTGATTTGTTTGACAGCTTTAGTGATTTCTCTGTGAACCAGCGCACTGATCGTACCTCCAGAAGCAGCGACAGAGATTCCTTCATTGTAATCTGGAGATGGAATCGGAGGCACTTTTTCCAGTCTTCCACTGTTAACGCCAGAATATAAATCACAGTTGCTGTGCCCTCTTTTTAAGAAATTGCTTCTGTAAGCCACAGGTAGTTGATAGGAAGGTATAATGGCAGCTGATCGTTCTTCTGAATACTTGGAAATTTTACCATTAATTTCATTAGTAGGTATCCTAGCTCCCAGGTCTGTACGGGTAGGATGCAACATAAAAAAATTTGATTCAACAACTTTTGTTTTGCATTCTATAAAATTTTGTGTTTTGCTGGTCTCTCTCCTGTCTTCGGAGCGACTTCGTGGTGCAACAATGTGTTTAGAATTAATTTTTGGGTGAAGCCGTGTCGAAATACTCTTGTTGTCTTCCTTGAACTTATAGATGTGACTTTTCTGATGGCCCGTGCGAGAATCTGATATGTCCGGATAGCTCCAGTTGATCCCGCTATCCGATTCAGATTCGCTGAGTGCTGAATCTGCAGATTCTTTGTCAGAGCTGTAGATTTTTGATTCAAAGTCTCTTTTGGAACTAAAATTGGTCTTGCTTGTCTGAAAAGAATTTTTCAATGATGGTGGTGAGTTACTGAATGAACTGGACTTGCTACTTAAATTTGGTGAGTTTTTTGGATCACTGTAGCAAGAATTGTCAGATCGAAAACCCTTGGGAGGTCGAATAGTTGGAACGTCTATGAAAATTTCTTCTGTTCCTAACTGTCTGCTGTCACCAGAAAGTAGAAGGTCGTCGTCATCGTCATTTAAGAAATTGCTTGTGATATCTGTTGGATGTATTTCTGCCACAGACTGAAAAAGGAATTTAGAAATCTATTTGAGTATTTTAAAGATAAATATTAAAAGAACAAAATTTACATAATAGTTCTATGGTGTATTTAATTAACCTCCTTGCTTCCCCCCACAGGGAGAATGAAGTTTCTCCATGGGAGCCTTTACCTCAGAGTGCTGAATGTCACTCTTTGTGTGGGCCCAGTGCATTCAGTAATAAATCCTAACTTGCAAAAATAATTCCTGTAAAAGCTGTTTCTTTTATCGAAGGCATTCAGTATCTAGATCACCAGCCAAAAAAATAATAAAAAAAGATCTCCCTTACAAAAGTTTAGGAATGGGGATGAAGATTCGTGGATGGCTGTTTCAAACCCTGTTGGCTGAGGAGTCGCACTGTGACCAGTGACAGTGGTGGTGTTGGTCATGGTCACACCTTTGTCCCTTGAGTAGCTTTAAAGAGGGCACACCTGGCACTAAGCATTTTCCTGCCTCTGTGGGTCTTGCTGCATGGCACACTGCACTCCCCCCCCCAAAAAAAAGAAATGTCTCGAAAGCCTGACCTAAGATATTTATTAGATTTATATATATAGTATTGTTCTAATATAGGTATTTTGACACAAATTCAGACTTTTTATGACTCAAGCCTCAGATTCTACAACTCAAGCCAAACTGCCGAGTTTTGTAAAAATCGAACGAGTAGTTTTTAAAAAATTAGCTTTAAAAATTGTAGCTCCTCAATGTTAATTGAATTCAATACATATTTACTAGTTTCTTTTTTTTTATTAAACTCATTTTAATCTTCCTTTCTCATTTTGAAATTTAGTTTCATTCCAAATAAAATTCACCTTTTTTTATTTATTTTTAGAATAATTTTTATAAATTTTTCATAAAACATTTTGTATTGTAACATACAAAATTTTTGCCATCTTAAAGTAGACGTATTTCTAGGCATACTTGCAAAAAATTAAGAGTTTTTTATTAAAATTTTTGAAGATATACGTGAATTTATATACTGGTATGTTTTAAAATTTGGCATATTTGTTGAAAGCGATGATAACATCAAATGTGGTTTAGACACTTTGTTAAAACTATTTGAATGTAGGAACGATGTAACTTTTTTCCCGCTCATGCACAATGTAAAAAGGGAAATAAAAATAGGTGTCACATATTAAGATATTCGCAAAGTGAATTATTCTTGTCGCAAACTGGGGGGAAAAAAATTACCAAAATTTTATATTTTGTCAATTGGACGAGAGATATATAGAACTGTCCCTTTTGTTTTGCGCAGTGTACCTCCCTAAATTCTGAAATATTTGCCATCCTTAAATCTTACTATTTCCTCTCCTATATTCTAAAAATTCTGCCCTCACTAATTTTTGCTGCTTGTTGCTCCTAAATTCTGACACCCAGTGAAGTTGCTCCTGTTTCACCTATATTGTAGATCATTTACGGTGGTAGCATTTTCCTATCTTGCCTACATAATAAATGCAGTGCAAATGTTGCTGTGTCTACTACTGTCTCCAAACCTGGCATTGTCGAAGTCCCAGTGATTCTGAATCTCGAACTTTGTACTGTATCTGGATTCTTTCATATATTATTTTAAATTTTTACATTTTATACTTGCCTGTTGCTATGCTTTCTATATGTAAATACCTGAAACTTCTAAACCCTGAACAGTGTGTTGTAGGTATAGCATATTTTATATAGTGATAAAATTTGATATCATAGAATAAAATAGCAAATATCACCCATAAGAACAAGGCTAACATTGAGGATAAATTATGCTATTCTGACATCATTTATGTACATTAAAAACTTCAAGTAAAATATTTTGTTTCAGTGCATCAAATGTGATATGGCGGACCACCAGTAATAGTACTTAGCTCCAATTATTGCATTTTGATAGGATGGTAGGCTCACGAAGGAAAACGGAGAGCAAATATGTTTAACTGATTTTTCGCTATACATACATATAGACATATGTAATAGAACAAAAATAAGCAAAGTATACCAAACGGATAAAATTAACAGATAAATAGTGCACAAATACAGCAAACATATTCTGTAAACATATTAAGTACAAGCAGCTAAATTTTTAAAAAAAATCTCACAATCAAAACCTTACTGATAAGAAAACCAACTTAGTAGTCTCATTCTCAAAATGCAAAAATAATCAAAATATTTTTAAAAAAATTGAAAGCAAATTGCACATGATTATATAAAGTTTAAAACTGAAATAAAATTTAAGAAAATTTTATACTTTTACAACATAGTGCAGTATGTATACTCGTGTGCAAAATTAAGAAAATTTGCATTTTATGTTGAATTTCTGAAAGATTAATGAACAGATTTTAATGAAATTTGTTGTGAATATGCATTTATAACAGAAAGAGATGTGCCATTCAAAAGTTATTTTATACATGTTTGATCGTCAGTAAAGGTCATTAATACAGGGATGTCCAAAATCCACATTATGATTTTGAACTGAAAATGACTAACATATGCTGCCCTTTCTGCCAGACAGGTCATGTAGCATGAGTTTCTGATGTAATACTTCACAGCTGGCAGATGAAGAAGCCCGTGTAGCAGTCAGTTGCACTCCTGCAGCAAGAATTTTCAAGTCCAGGATGGGGATAGCAAGTTAAAATTGCCCTCCCAAAAAGCATCGCAAACATGCTCTATAGGCAAAGAACATCTACGTAAAGAAGGAAAGGTTCCATAGATGTAATGTAAACCAGTTTGCTATTACGCTGCAAACAAAAAAACGTTTGACAAAACGTTTCTGCTTTGACTTTTCACGATTACTCAAACTCAAATTTCCGTACTTTGTTTTTGCTTAAAATAACTAATCCATTAATTAATTTACTTGCACGAAAAAATATTTTCTTTTCCTTTGACAATTAAAGAAATTTAAAATGACATTTGTTTTATGAACTCTGGATGAACGTGCCCTTCGAACTTCGATGCCAGGATGAACGTACGCTTCCACTCGAATATGGGTCCAAATTTTAAATTGTAGAAATATTTATTGTCATCTTTATGCAATGCATTGCTCAAATTAAACTTTAAATATTAATTTATCTTGAATATTCTTTCTTTGCTTCTGGGACAGTATATATAAGCAAAATTTGAAAATGGGCCATTTATACTTTAGCCATTTATAGAATTAATGTGCATGTAAATGAGGTCATATTGTGGCTAATGACTATTTTTATACTTACGGTGGCCTTTTTTATTCCAGTTTTCAGTGATGTTACTTCTTCATTCAAGTCTTCACATTTTTCTTTCAACTGTAATAAAATTGTTATAACATTTAAATCTAGAATTCATATTTTAAATTGTGAACAGATTAATAGTAGTGCTATTTATAGTGCATTAGATACACCCTCGGAAATAACTGAAGAACCTTGATAAAACTATTCAACTGTAGTGAGATTTTACATGCAAACATCACATGATTGAAAGTGCAAATGTTTCAATTTCGGCAGTCAGTGATACAGTAAAGATGCAGTAACATATTGACAAATAAAACATAAAAAATTTTTACTCTCATACTTAAAAAATTGACTGCAGTATTTGTTACAGAAATCTGAAACCATTTTTAAGGGCCATTTTCAAATCGAATAGCGAAATATGGCATTAATACGTAATGTAACAAAATAAAATATCTAAGTGTTAAGAGATCACATATCCAGCATTTCTATGCAAATTATTTGAAAAATTTTGATCGATATATCCCCCCCCGAAAAGGAGACCTTATTCACAGAATATAATAAAATTTAAGTTGTAGAAAACACTGGCAGGGTTCCATACAGCCATATACCCATTTCATAATATTATTTGCATTAATTAAAAATGAAAAAAGTTTGTTATATTTAATTATGGCAAAACACTCGAGGCCTATCTGCCTAAGGAGAGGTATATCTTCGTGGAGGGCTTTTTAAAGGAAACTGTCTTGTATACATGTTACACATGAAGCACTAATGCAGCCAGCCCATACACTGGGATTCGAACGCCAGGCCAAACTACCGGTGTTCGGCAACTTTATTGCTCGTTCTCCGGTGGACTCGAAAAATATTTGTACGCTAATGAATATTTTACCAAGATTGCGAGGTTATTAGTCTGAAGTAGTAAAACTTCATGAGAATATTAATAATGTATTTTAGACTTTGACCTTATAAATCAGTGTTTCCCAACCTTTTTTGTGGTATGCCCCACCTAATCCTCTGCAAAATTCTTATGCTATCCCTAGAACATGTATTTAATTTTTAATATTCAAAAACTGAAATGTTCATGAAAGAATCTTGAATGGCAAGTTTTAGAAAGAAATTTCTAAGCATTTAAATGTCCATGTCTGCAGCGAAAATTATATAAAATATTTAAAATGCAATAATTTAAAACTTGTACCGCAATTTAAAAACTTTTTTACGTATGCATCACTATTATTTTTAATTTTTGGGAGTAAAAGATGAAATTTTGAAAAATTCAGACTTGAAGAAAATTTGAACATTGCTTGTCTCCTTAAACTCTGGATGAGTGCATTTTCAAACTGTCCCCCTTAACAATCGAATTTCCCTCCTGTGAGGCATGTGCCCCCCGTTGAGAAACACTGTTATAAATACTCATGTGAAAATTTTGTTGGCACACGAAATCTAAAAAATTATAAATAAAGGTACTAGTAAATCACTAAAAAATGGCAGTTTTGGTCAAGTGAGAAAATTAAGGATATAATTTTGATTACTTCTTACAAATGCAGCTGTAAAAAAATACTTAATCATTAGTGTCAAAGAAAAAGCAAATTATGATGACATCTTCTTAAAGGCTAAAGCAATAACATTGTCATTTCCTAATGAAACAAATTAGGCAGATACCACTCCCACTGTTAGTGCCATGACATAGAACAAAGGGAACAAAAATTATGAATTATTTTTAATTTCTCATTTTTTGGTAAATTTTTAACGAATTTTTCGACTATTTGATGTCTGTTATTTTAACATTTCTTTTCCAACTGATTTAGGGGAAAGGAATTGAAAACAACACTTGCAAATCTTGCTCTTGATCACAAATACCACGCTTCTTGAACAGGTCCCTAGGATTCCCGCAGTTTTCTCCTTTGTTATTGTTTTACAATATTTCTTGCACTCTTAGATGAAAACTCTACAGTTAGTGAAAACTCTACAGTTTATAAATTAAAAACAATGGATTCAATTTACGTACCTCCATCTCTATCTGCATCAAATTGATTTTATCTTCTTCCAGTTTCTAAAAAAGAAGAATACAACTATTATACATATAACAGATTTCATGTCAGAAATATTCAAGCTAGTTCATATTATAACAGCCATTCATAAATTCAGTCCCTCCCCTGCTTCCGTCTTTATATAGTAGGCACCACTTAATATGACATCATTTTTATTCATGGCTATTTTGGTAACAGTAAGAAAAAATATCCTTCAAAACTGCAATGGAATTGAACTAATATAAATACAAGTAAAAACATATAAACAAGAACTTTTGCAGTATTTTAAGTAGGAAAATTCATAAGTTTGAAACTCATCTTAATGTCTTTAATGTAAAATTTCATTTATGAAGCATTCATAAAGTTTCTGGAAATTATACGACATAGGCCATACACCTACTATTAATACTCTAAAAACATCCCTCATTGGAATTCAAAATTCGACAAAAAAGGTAACAGTAGCTTGCAATATTGCCTTCAAGCAATATTTGTTGCTTCTGTAGAAGAGAAACCTGTATCTTATTCTTGCAAAATCGATAGTGTTATTGAAATTCTATATCAACTAAGCTTGTTTTCTTGCATAATTTTAAATGGTCGAGGGAAATTGAAACCAAGATATTTGACTTCTTAAGCCCTTTGACCTTATTTGGCTATTTTGCTTTTTTTTTTTTTTTTTTTTTAATTTGTTCTGTAGAATTTTGGTAGCCAAATTTTTTATCTCAATAAGCGATGCATTTCCCATATTTTCATAAACAAATAGGCGGCAATTCAATAACAATATCCCAATGACAACGCTGACTACGAATGGACCATTTTCAAATTTTGCTTATATATGCTGTCCCAGAAGAAAAGAAAGAAAATTCAAGATAAATTAATATTTAAAGCTTAATTTGAGCAATGCACTGCATGAAATGACTATAAATATATTTTCGACAATTTAAAATATAAAAAAAAATCAATAAAATAATTTGTCTTCCTCTTCATGTCGAATCCGTTACCTCGAGATTATTTTACCTCAAATTAGTTTGTAAATCTGCTTAGGGGAGCAGTTTATATTCAAAGTAGTCAAACTTAGCTCGAATAGTTTATCCACGTCACTGAATATGTAATGCCCCTTTTAGACAAATTTATGAACTAATTTTGGGTAAAATAATCTCCAGGTAACGGACTCGACATGAAGTGGAAGACAAATTATTTTTCTGTCGATTTGTTAAAGAAAAAAATTTCTCTCATTAGTTTTTATCACGAATATAACACACTAATAGTTCATATTTAAAATAATTAAACTTCTTTATTTAAAAAATAAATTAGGTTACAAAACAAAGAGGTCGAATAACATGAAACTCGAAAGGGACAGGCAATTTAGCCTACGATCACACATTTTAAGATTGATATCTAAAAAATTTTAATTTATTTTTTTTTAGATTTTGAATTGTAGAAATGTAGTCATCTTTATGAATGCATTGCTCAAATTAAACTTTAAGCATAAATTATCTTTGATTTTTCTTTCTTTTCTTCAGGCACAGCATATGTATGCAAAATTTGAAAATAGACCAAATACATTAAGTGTTGCCTACTGTATTAGTATTCATAGTTAAAGTTCACATACATAGGAAACACCATTGGTCATTTTTTTAATTTAACGAACTTCAGAGTTTTAAGTGGTTTGCATTTATCAAAATTCTTCACGGATTTGGAATAAATTTGTGAATTTCGGACTGTTTCCTTTTCAATATCTGTTACAAATGGCAAAATTTTTTTGTAACTTAACTTTTATTTACCGAGTTCTTGATAGAATTTATACAAAAAATGCACTGCAAAGAAATTCTGCTCCAAAATCCGTATGGAAAACTTGAATTTTGCCTCTAGTTTATGCTAGACTTGCAGAATGGGGCAAAAATTTCACTTTCAAGGTGACATAAAAATCGTCCTCTGCTGTCTATTGGCACCAATAAATGATTTCAATCCAGAATTTAAGTTTAAAAATGTGCAACTTAATGATTAAAATCTGCATGTGTACAAAATAATGCTATCTTAAACAGAAACCTTCGTCTGGTAGTATTCATCACACTGCTAGAACTTAGTTATGCTGCATCTCTTACTCTTTATACTGACATCCATTTTGTATGTCAGTATTAAATATTTTACAATATGCTAAAAGAAAGGTGCATAATCTCTCTGATAAATATATAATAATTATTGTGCAAAAGACATAAGCACGCACAACGCATGTAACACATCAAAACAAGTGATAAGTACAATTCTGTCCTAAAGAATACCATACTCTGTGTTAAGGGCCATTCCCACTGGGGTTTATCTGAGCTAACGAAGACAACTGACGTAGCCAACTCATCTCCAAAACAAGTTTTTCCTCATAGGGCAGCAAGTTGAAAAATCTGAACTGCATGCATACTGGAGCTAGTCGACACATAGAACTGACTCCGTTAGCTCAGATAAACTCCACTGGGAACATCACTTTAAAATTAATGGGCCACATTCAATACCTGATAATCTATATAGATCACCCACTTTGATTTCATAAGACTGGAAGAACAAGTATTTCATTTGAGAGTCTATTTTGTCAAAATCAAGTGAGAGCGGCATTATATTTAAATGTGTTCCCATCCAAACAATGAAGGTTTTCAGCTTTGGGGTTTGCGGATAATGCCAACAAAGTTTCAATTAAAAGCAAGAAAAGGAAACGTAATAGATTGCTTATTTAGTTGATTATATTATAGGTTTTTTTTTTTTTTTCCTCTAAGCCAAAAGGACATTAGCCCAGAAAGGCTATAAATTTCATTTTGCCATTTTGTGTCAAAAATTTTAAAATGTTTGTTTTTCACTTTTCAAATTGTTGCCACCAAATATTATCACCTCATGTTATATTTTAAGAAATTAAATAATGAAAAATAAGCATACATGAATGTATGTTTCTTGCATTGAGATAAAACAACGGCACCTAGAATCATCCAATTTTCAATAACGTAATCCTCCACCGAATATGGGCATCTGGAAGCCCAAATTTAGAATTTGTTTTATTATGGATTTCATATTTTTTAATACCTTAACGAATATTTGATTAACAAACTCCAGGATTTCAAAGCGAGCCATGGCTACGTTTTACCGAAAAAACATTTATCTCCTGCACGGGAGATTGTGTATCGGAAATTCTAAAGATATATTCATTTAAAAATTATTTTGCGACATTGCTGTTGAATTGAATTTTATGGTTTAAGGGCAAAGAACACGATATTCAATAAATAATGGTAACACACAAAACTTTAAAACGGCTCCTTTGTGCATAATATAAAATCTGAAAGGGATTAGTTTTTTTTTTTTTTTTTTTTTTTTTTTTACTTTTATTTTATGTTAGAGTTGTGATGTTTTTAATGAAGTTGTGAATATAAATACCAGACCTAAATAATTTTTCAAAATTGGTATATTTTGCCATTGTTTTAAGCAGATATGCATGAAAATACCAAAAGGCAAATTTAGAATGTGATTGAAAATAAAGCATCATTCTAAAATACTTCACAGCAACTGACACATTGTTTGATTGTTAACTTAAAACTGATCACTAAACCGTCTATCGCGAGCTGGGACATCTTCGGTAGACCACGTTAACTGTCTTCGGTTAAGGGACATTTTCGATTGCCTAACCTTCATTCCTCCACTGAGTTGACACTGCTGGAGTGGAGTTGGAACTAATTGATTTTCAAAATTTGCTTTCTTTAAGCTCTGAAAATATTTGACCTTTTGTTCCTTCAGAAAAATACCCAATTTTGGTCCAGGTTTGTCTCAAAGTGAAGGCAATGTTCAACTCTATCTGTGCAAGATTTCTTTTTCCAGTATGAAATTTACTAACAATAAGTAAACAGAAACAGACTCACTAATGAATACCCCGACAACCGTATTCGTATGACAGCCACTACCTACTCTCCCAACATTAAAAAAACTTATTAATGACGGAAAGAAAAAAAAAAAAAAAAGAGTTCCATCGTCCTCATTAATGTTAATCAGTCTGATAAAAAAGTCTGTTATTACATTTATTATATATTTACTAACTACACTTCCATTTCTTTCTTATTTACAATTCAATTTCTTTTTGTTATGTACAGTTTGATTAAAATTGATTTCATTACTAGAAATGTAAGTTTATAAGCAATAATGAGTTTGGCAACTAATGACAATTTGTTCCGTTAAATTTTATATTGCTTCTATTGTGCACTGAGACAATTAAGCCTGAATTGTATATTAGTTTTGTTATTTATTATACTTATGCCTATTTCTTGCACATGCTTAAGGAGTTCTAAATAAATAAAGAAGTTGGTGGTTCTTTTGGGTAGCTCACAGTACTGTCTAACCACACTAGCGAGAGAAGTTTGGCTGATAGCCAAGATGGGTCAGTTTAATTGAAGGGGTGTGGGTGAAAAGCGTGGGTTTTTTTCCCTCTCGGAGGTCGTAGCAGTTGTAACAGCTTTAACCCATTAACCGCCAAAACTACAAAGAATGTTTCTTTTCTCATGAAAATAATAACAAATATTAAATTAAGCATTTATAACATAAATTTACATTGAAAATTTAAAAAAAATGTTTTTACTTGTGGAAAAAGCAAGTGTTGCGTTCGTGCAACGTCAGCGGAATAAGACTACGGATGTTTAGTGAGTAGGATTGTACTCGTGTGATGTTCCTTTTGAGTGAAGCGCAGGATTACTTTTTAGCTGTATAACATTTTATAAATCTACAAATCACTTTTCTTGTAATTAATTTAATATTAAAATATACATTGTATTTCTTTTACAAATACAGATTATTTCAATTGAAAGATTCGAGCATGAAAAGCTTGATTACAATCATGATGTAAAGCTACATTACATACTTTGCATCTATAAACAGTCTGGCTATGGTACTATTTCTGGCTAATTCTACACACTCAACAGGAGTTTGCAAAAGGAATAATATATTCTCGCGTCTGAAATCTAAAAGAGACTATTTCCAGTAGTAAAAAGTGGTGATATTTAGTAAGTTTAGATACGGTCTCACCTCATATAATTTATCAGTATTGTCAATTTGACTATTGTCAAATGCAAATTCTGCTTCATATTCCTGTACTGCAAACGTGATATCGATTCTCGTACAACAGGAACAGAAATGTCTTTATCAAAAGACCAATACATTTTTTCTTGAGGTAAAGAATGATGTCCTGTAAGCAATAATATTCCAATAAATCTTCTCATATAGGCTTCAGAAGCAATAAATTCTGCCCCCCTTTTTTTTTTTTTTTTTGCTGAGTGTATGTATTTGTCTGTTCAACGAGAAGAGAGTAAATGTCTAAACCAGAACGAAAATCTGTGCACTAGTTTTACCTTGTGTTTTGTGTTTTATTATTTCTCTTCTATCTCTTTCTTCACGTTCCTCCTGAGACATAACTAACAGTTCCTTTTTTATCCACTTCAAGATTTCAGTCTTCTGCTTTTTAAACTTTTTAGTATGACTATAACTGCTTTTAGAAGGCTGAAACTTACTTCTTACGTGAATTTCAACTTACCCAGCAGTATCATTTGGTAAAATATCATTATCATTATTTAAAACATTGCCATTCCTTTCTTCTTCGTCACTAGCCTCTGCAATTTCTGGGGGAACAGCAACAATATCAGTTTCATTCTGGTCATTATTAACATTATCATCATCTGTTTCTTCATCAAAAAATCTTTGAAGGGCTTCTTCTAATGTAAGATACCTCATTCTAGGCATTTTAAAACAACCAGAACATCGAAAGGAATGAGTGAAAAAGAACATTGACTACCCGTTTCCTGCTGACGTTGCGTCAACGCAACACCTGTTTTCCCTTCCTTCCCAACACAAATATAAACATCTGACTGATGTAATGTTCTGATAAATGGTGACCTTGACTAAAAATAGATCACTCATAAAGACTGCGATTCTTTCGTTAAATATTTTTAGCAAAAAATACCCAGTCGAAAATTTTGCTTTTAAGTATGAGATTAATTATTATAAACAAAATGATTGTTGAAGGCAAATACTTTTTAAAGAAATAATTTTCATAATATTCCCTACACAAAATCATCTGCTGGTATAAAATATCTTAGGTAGTTATATTTATATACGCATTTATTTTTGACCATTGCGTCAACGCAACACCAGTGGCTAATGGGTTAATATCATTATTAATTTCTAGTGCATTTGAAATAGATGAATAGTAAATAATGTACAGGTTACTGGCAATATTGAAACGCAGGCTCGAGAGCCGCATGTATTTTCTTCGTACGAAGCATGTAATTATTTTTTTTTAAATAAGTTTTTATACCTTTTCTTCTCTTGTTTGTAAGTCACCATTTTTCTGAGTATCAAGTAAAAGTTATTGCTGTGTTCCATCATTGGAATTTACTTCAAATTATTTAAGAAGTATCACAGGGTGTGGGTGAAAAGCACGGGTATTTTTTCCTCTTAAAGGTCGGAGGTCATTTAGAGTTTTTTCTTACAATGGTTGAGCATTGCTTTTACTGACCGTCTTTTACTTTCAAATCTTCATTTTTACGATGAGTTCTAGTGTTCCAGAAAGCTCTAGAGATAAACCTTTCTGCAGCGTTTTTAAGAAATTGGTGTATAACGTGATTAAGGTTTGTGATGAAGAATCACAATTAGGAAGACTGACCATCCCAGTTATGCAGCCAACACGCAGAGCAAGTAAAATGACTGGTGTTTCTATTGCCAGCATAAACAGAATTCGTAAAGAATCTGAAAGTGACGAAAATGTTGAATTCTCTTCCCCTAAAAAAAAGAGAGAAACTGTTTAAGTACATGCTTAGATAATTTTGCTTTGGATATTTTAAGATGAGCAGTTCAGGACTTAAGGATATCAAGGAAAAGAAAGTGGCAACTATAACCAAACTGCTTCCTGCATTAAAAGACACAATTTTCCAATACCCATGTGCGAGGGGGGGGATGTCATAAATATCGATCAATAAAAACTGAAATCTTGTATACCATGGAATCATTTCTGACACTTTTTAACCTGATAGCTATGTATTTATGTACCAAGTTATTCTTTAAGAAGAGCATTTTATTATGTTATATAAAATTGAAACATTTTGTATACTAGAAACTTTATTTAAAAGCTTTATTAAAATGCGGAGCCCACCAGTGACGAAGTGGTTAAGACATCTGAATACCGGTAGTTTGACCTGCCTCAGGCTCATTATCCAGGCAGACAGGCCGACTGTTTATTTGGTTTTCACGGTTTTCCCCATTTATAACATGAATGAGAGCCAGTGTCCCTCGGAAAGTCTTCCACAAAGATATCCCTCTTCCTAGGCAAATACCCCTTGTACCTTTGCGATATTCAAATAAGCTAACCATAAATGACAAAATAATATAGAATACATGACATCTTAAACATATTACATTAACATAGGAAAAAGAAATTTCAGTGCTTGCAAGGTTATTTGAATTGGATTTGTTTAGCATTTTCATAAAATCACAATTGAGTTTTCACAAAGTATCAGTTTAAAATGTCAAAAGATACAAGTATTTTAGATTTATTCAGAATCCTCAAATTCTAAAAATACTCTTTACTGTGTAACTATAATAAAACTAAAGTCATACCTGAAGTGCTTGTCGAAGAATTTCAACCTGAAAAAAAAATGCACATTTTAAATTTTTTGATAAAAGTATGGCACATATAGATTAGATAAATGATACAGGCTTTTTTCAAACCAGTGCAGGATCATCGGGCAAGAGAATTTCAAACAGCTAATATTCTTAGCTGAGTGTCCCCCCATCCCCAGTTGATTGCATGACACTGAAACCACCCAAACAATTTCCCAGTGGCATAACCGGAGCTCTCTCTGACCAGGACAGCAATTTTTTGCATGAAACATCATTGGTAGAAGTATATTTACAGGTATCCCTTGGTGATTTTTGGTGGTACATGGATACCGAGTTTAGGTAATTCTTTGCGCACTTCTTTGACTTTATCCATGTACATGTCGACCTATTTTCACTCAAAAAAACATCAGGGAATTGCACACTCCCTTGACTTTGTCCATGTACACATCGATATATTTTCACTTAAAAAGTGAAAGGAGCACCCAATTCTAGGTAAAAGTATATTTACGGAATATTCAACTACTCAGGTTACCATAAACGAAACAACTTTGCGATAATACAAGGGGCACCCTTCAGTCTACTCTACCCACATCATTTTAGAGGATTTATTCATGTGGATCTCGAGACAGGTGAAGAATGATTGGATTCTATATTGCCGTACAGAATTAAATTGAGAAAGAAGAAAAAGTGTGCTACTTTTTGCGCGGAAATCTCGCAAGCAGATTATGGCGAACAGTAAACATAAAATTTTAGTTTTTATTGAAGCATAACTTTATAGTTTTTTTTAAAACATAATAAACATAATTTTTAAATTTGGGCTGATCTTTGGAATATGGTAACAGGTAGTTTGGCGACATTTTGGAGGCGATAAAGGTTACTACCTAGGACTTTGGGAATAATGTGAGAAGTACTCAGTTCCGATTACGCATTATTTTGTGTGAGGGAAATGAGAGATCATGAGATATGTCATGTGACATTAATGGACGAATCACTGTTCTTTAATCGGAAAAAGGGGGTAAATTTTTAAAAATATCTGCTGTACAGCATTAGTTTCATTCTATGTTCTGTGAAACAGTGTTGTTTAATATTTGGATCCCATGGCCCTATATAAAGTAAATCCGAAATTTTTATTGCGTTTATGTGTAATTGAAAAGAATTGCTTAATTGCGGATAAGTATGAATGTCCAACATGTGGGTATGAAATGAGATTGTGTGAAAGGAAGGATATTACAGATAAGTTTGAATGGCGGTGCAAGAAATCTGGTGAAAATGGACATTTTGTGATCCGCCATGCACTCAAGATTCTGTAGAAGATTAGGTAAGTTAGTATTTTTAATTATTTGAGGATATTATTTTTATGCATTGTTCTAAATGTAAGGAGTAAATAAATTAATATGGTATTATTGGAAAATTGTTATTAGCAATGATTTAGTTTAAAGTAATTAGGATTGTAAGCTAATTTTTATTAATTTAATGTATGTGCTTATTTATATTTTAAGTAGTGTTTTTTAATTTAATTATATTTTAATTTAATGATCGTGATTTTGAGAGTTATATGTTTGTAGTATTTTGGAATACGTTTGAGTAGAAGTAAATGTGCATGGAAAGAATTTAAGTATTTGGAACCATTTTTAATGTTTGCGTTAGAAATTGGTGAGGTTTATAATAGATAATTTAGAGGGAAAAGTTTTTGGATATTTTATTTATTTTATATGTGCAAATGTTCATCCTTGGAAAGGGTATATACTTTTTCGCGATCAGGTAATTTCATATATGTCCTTTTTACCGAATTTAAAGATTCACAAAATTTTCATGCATTTTCGTGAAATTTTTCTAATTTATGAGAAAAAAGCAGTGTACATGGATATAGTGAAGAGTGTGCGCAATGCCATTTTTGTGCAATTCTGGGATGTTTTTTTAAGTAAAAATAAGTCGACGTGTACATGGTTTAATTATATTTTAATTAAATGATAGTTATTTTGTGAATTATATGTTTGTAGCAATTTGGTAAACGTTTCAGTGGAAGTAAACGTGCATGGAAATAATTTAAATATTTGAGACTAAGTATTTGTAACCATTTTTAATGTTTTGTTATAGATTCGTTGGTGACGTTTATAATAGATAATTTAGAGGTAAAAGTTTTTGGATATTTTATTTATTTTATACGTGCAAATGTTCATCTTTGGAAAGGGTATATACTTTTTCACGATCAGGTAATTTCATATATGTCCTTTTTACCGAATTTAAAGATTCACAAAATTTTCATGCATTTTCGTTAAAATTTTTCTAATTTATGAGAAAAAAGCAGTGTACATGGATATAGTGAAAAGTGTGCACGATGCCATTTTTGTGCAATTCTGGGATGTTTTTTTAAGTAAAAATAAATCGATGTGTACATGGTTTAGTTATATTTTAATCAAATGATAGTTATTTTGTGAATTTTATGTTTGTAGGAATTTGTTATACGTTTCAGTTGAAGTAAACATGTATGGAAATAATTTAAATATTTGACACTAAGTATATGTAACCATTTGTAATGTTTGCGGTATGAATTCGTTGGTGACGTTTATAATATAATAGATAATTTAGAGGTAAAAGTTTTTGGATATTTTATTTATTTTATACGTGGAAATGTTCATCCTTGGAAAGGGTATATACTTTTCGCGATCAGGTAATTTCCTATATGTGCTTTTTACCGAGTTTAAAGATTCACAAAATTTTCCTGCATTTTCGTGCAAATTTTTGTAATTTATGAGAAAATGGCAGTTTAGATGGATAAAGTCAAGAGTGTGCGCAATGCCATTTTTGTGCAATTCTGGGATGTTTTTTTAAGTAAAAATAAGTCGACGTGTACATGGTTACTGTGCGTGTGCGATTTTGAAAAACGCGGCAAGGAGTTTGCGATTCTACACTTTTTCCCAATTTTGCAGTTAATATTTGTCATGATTAAGCAGTTTTGTTCCATAAAATTTCTAGCATAAGTGTAATTCGGCTAGTAGATTGTTGGAAAAAGTGTTGAGTAAATAAAAAGAAAAGAAACATGTCTTTACTTCGTGAAAACAAAATGCCGGCGAAAAAAAAACAACAGAGGGTTGCTGTAGCAGAATTGGTCGCCAAAAAATCGCCAAGTTACCATAATCCAAAGATCAACCGAATTTACTATGCTTTAATGGTTCAACATCCTGATTCGCCGGTTTATAATCACGTGACCCCAAGTAATCTCATCTCGCGTACACTACGCTACAAAAATCTAATTCTCTTGGTAATTATCTACAGTAATTTCAAGTTAAATCTTAATTTGAAATGCAAGAATTATTTCAATTCGTACGAATAGCTTACTCAGAAATTATGTAAACCGTAGTGCTTTACTTCGCTAGTGCATTCTGATTAGAATTGATAAATTTAAACCTTGAATTTTCTATATTTTCATCTTCGAGTGAGCGGTGTGATTGCATCCTAATTGACTTAATTACCACGAATGGCCTTAAGGCATGAAATTGAACTATTTGATAAAAAGTCTATGTGTGTATGCCAGTATTGAAAGAAATAATCAATCTGATAAGAAATGGTTGCGATTTGTTTTGAAAATGATGTTTAAAAGGTTACCAGCGAGGATATTCTGTTAGGCATCAGTTTTACCATTATGGGAGACTTTATCACCTGTGCTGGCAAAATCGAAAAGTACCAAAAGTTTTTATTCTAAGTATAGTATTCAAAGAAATCACCATGTGATTTCAGTAGCTAAATACTTTTCTTACAGTCGAAAATTTTTAATGCAAGTTAGAAAAATCAACTGAATTGTGTTCACAGTGATCCAATAAAGAAGAATTCCTCATTAAGAAAGAATTATTTCAGAGTTTTATTTCCTTAATCCCTAGGAAAATTGAAACTGAAACGTAGACAGATTATTCTTTGAATTTTTGGAGTACATTCTAAAATACAACTCCAGAACAAAGTTCCAAATACTGAGCCATCCTGAATTTTCCTCTTAATTGCCTTAAATGTTGCTAGTTATGATAAGTGTTTTCTAAATAAAAATCATTTAAGAACTACAAATGTATATTTTGCATTTAAGAAATATTTCTCTACTATCTTTATATAACAGCACTGGGAATAATTAAACAGACCTCTAGACATTGGTGCTTCTTTGAACAAAGAAATAAGCAAAAAAATAAAATAATTTTAATGTGTTTTGTGTAATTATTTTTCCTCCAAAAATAAATACAGAGTTTGATTTATTCCTCTGTATGTCATTTTGATATTTTTTGTAGTTATTTGTTTTTATGAGGCTCAGTTGTGCAGTGGCTAGTGGTTTGCGCAGCAGCACCACAGGTCAGGGGTTGGATCCCAGGCTATGCAAGGTTGACCAGCCTTTCATATCTTGAGTGGGTCGATAAAATGACTACAAAGTTTGCTTGAGGACTAAATATCGGGGGGAGGGGCTTCAACAGGCAAAAGTGCATGGGGCGCCAGAAAACTTCACTACAGGTATTTCCCCAATACACTAACCAGCTAGAATATTGTTGCATTTTTTGTACAGGTTCGCAGATTTGGAGCGTTTGACGACAACACTTGATGAAGAATGAAAACTCAATTTATTATTCAGGATAACTCCAAAAGCATGTTTACAGTCGTCAGAAAACTATGACAAACATGCTGAAACAATCAGCAACACAGCCTTCAGGCTATAATGGTGGAGGCAGCCCTATGGCCAAGCACAAGAGTACAGCTCCCGACGCTATTCTGTCGTTCTCGGAACTGTATGTACTCTCAAGACTCTCCACACTGCAACTCGCGATGCACTCGATGATAAGCAGTACAGTACAGCTCCTGACTTGGTTCTGTTGTTCTTGGAGCTCAACACACTCTAAGATAAAACTGGACGACACATCAACTCGATAGATGGCGAGACACTTTCACTCACTCTCACTAGACAGACTGACAACTTGATAGACCAGGCAATGACTGCTATTCCGTGTACCAGCAGTGTTTATATAGCTATTGGCTTGCATTTGAGAACATTCTGGGTCAAACCGTTAAGAATTTGTTCCAGGTGGTTTTCCATCCATCTATGGCATATTGCCAACTGGGTGATTTCTCACCAAATAGAGCAACCCTGCCTTCCCTTGCCGTTTTCTGGTGACTCTACCGCGGCTGGACATTTTGTAACAATATGAACAACTTGAACTGACTATATGCTATTTCTAAGCAATACTAGAATTATACATCGGAAGCTTGTACAGACATTAGGTTGTTTGGAAGCATGAAAGATGAAAAATTAGCAACGCCTCTGCCGAGAATCGAACCATGGACCTCTGGAATACGTGCCCAGCGTGCAGACCACCAAACCAAGAAGGCGGGAGAAATACCTCATATACTCCCCCTTTTAAAGGGCGACTGGGGTTTTTATGGGACCCAATTGCCAAATCCTGGGTGAGGAGAATCATCATCCAACACCCTTTTACTTCGGGCGCCACTGTAGAGACATTAGGTATTTTTGGAAGCAGGAAAGATGAAAAATATGCAACGCCTTCGCCGGGAATCGAACTACGGTCCTCTGGAATATGTGCTCAGTGTGTAGACCACTTGACCAGGGTATGCTCACGGTCAAGAAAGCAGATATCAGGGCACTGCAGACCATCGCTCACAAAAGGCTATTGTGTCACTGAATTTTTTTAAAATTATTTCTTTGTATATCTAGGTAAATTCAAGAAACGCCTCAGGCGGCAAACTCGGAGACCACCCTAGGCGGCAGAATTTTCTGCGCTACTGTATAAAAGCAACTTAAATATTTATATTCTTTAATTACTTACTTCTTTCTGGAGACGTTCGTTCTCCGTTTCAAGATTTTGTTTACCACCTGCAACACTTTCCATGTCTAGATATGTTGTTCTCCATGTTTCGATTTCAGACCATACTGAATCTGTGCATGGAATGCATCGAGATCGTAGTTCCTGGAAAATAAAAAAAATTCCGTATTAAAAAAAAGTTTTATTGCTTATTTATTACATTTTCATCAGCTTCGCCTTTCTGGGTGACTCCCTTACCGTTTCTAGAGCCCCGATGTCGAGTCCGGCTTCTTCTAGCTCACACTGAAGTCTTATTCGATCGGCAGGACGAGGACTCTTTTTCAAAAGAATATTCAGAAATTTCAAGGCCGCAGTCTGCAATAAATAGAAAATTTTTTTATATTCCGGGAAATTCATCTTTTTTGTAGATTACAAGTTGTATTTGCAGAATGAGGTCAGAAGTTTGTATGATGCACTGTTATCTAATTAGTAAAGTTATTTTGGTACTCCCCCCTCGTTATCGGGACCGCATATACATATGTAAGATACAGCAAAATACAATTGCTGTAAAAATAATTTGCGACTTCAAAATTAACGATTCTAGATTTGGTGCTGTCCTCCTAAATTCATCTGTTCTCCCAAATTCGACATCCTTCTATGTTATGTAACAACCTCAAATTAACCAATAACAGATTAGCTGTACTCATATAGATGTATAAATACCGCTGGCAATTACGTCATTCTTCCCTTCCCTAACTGCTGCTCTGTCAACACTGCGTCGCTTTACCTTCCTTAAATGCCTACGTCATTTCTAGTTAAAAATCAATGTTCACTGCGGGGTGGAGGGGAACAGTTCTATGTCTCCCTTTCTACTGAGCCAATTGACAAAATTCAAATTTCGTTTTTTAGGTCTCGAAAGCGCGACTTAGGATATATATTATATTTATATATAGCATTGTTCTAACCTAGGTATTTTGGCAGAAAATTGGACTTTTTCTGAAAAAACTTCCATATTTTGTTTGTACGACTCAAATTATGCCTAGATATTAAATTTTGTAATTTTTGGAGAAATTTAAAAATTTATCCTGGCGCATTTTTTCAAAATAATTAACTTGGCGAAATTCTTAATTTATAGTAACCCACTTACTTTTTTTTTCATTGATGCACGAGTGAAAAATAGGTCCACCAATCATTCTTACAAATAATTTTATACTTAAAAATATATATACATAAACCACATTTTCGTTAGTATCGTTTATAATAAATACGCCAAACTTCGAAATGCTCCAAAATGTGAATTCACGTATATCTTAGGAAATTTTGAATAAAAAACTAATTTTTTACAGGTATGCTTAGAAATACATCTACTTTAAGATGATAGTAAAACATTTATAGTTTATAAATACAACATTTTCTTCGTAAAATTCATAAAAATATTAAAAAATACAAATTTTAAAATTAAACCGTGAAAAATGTTGGAATTACATTTAATGCAAAATTTTATTTGTCGTAATTCAGTTTCGTCACCTTCGTCTCATATTGCAACTCTGCCATCACGACTACGCAGTAAAAATTATTACATATACAGAGTGATTCTAAATTGTTTTTACAAATTTAGAGGGGTGATAGTACCCATTCAGACAAGCAAAAATTACCAGAGAACAAAGTGACGCATTTCAAGAGGCAGAAAAGAAGAAAGTTGAAACGCATCGAGGAAGAACAAGGAATTATAAGGCTATTAAGAATTGACTATTATAAGTATATTGTCTAGTATATTACTTAAAAGACTACCACGCATGCAAATTTGCACTGAGAAAAAGCAGAATTTTGCTCTTAGATGGTACTGGAGAAAGTCAATCAGAGCAAATGGTGTGCTTGAAAATAGCACAACATCATCGCTTCAAGCATTACCTTAATAACATAGTCCGAAGCTTTTCATGAATGCTATGAGGGAGTACACGTACGAAGAATTGCAGATATTCACCTCACATACGGTGAAGTGAAAAGGAATGGACGTGAAGTATGAAGATTGTGCGAACAGCGGTTTCTAACTTGCCGGATTCCAAGTCATCCTACCTTTTCCATTGTTCATCGAAGACTGCGAGAAACAGGCTCTTTTGCCATCTCGAAAACCAAAGCAGGACGTTCGCGAACTGCACGAACGCCAGAAATGGAAGAGCGAGTTTTGACTAGATTTGAAGCAGCTCCTTCCACAAGTACGTATACGAAATGGGTATTTCTCAGCCAGTAGTGTGGCGTATGTTACACGAGGAACGCATGCACCCCTACCACGTGCAAAAAGTGCAATCTTTGGACACAGATGATTATCCCTGCCAGGCAGATTTTGTACAGAGGATGCCTGGAATGAAGAATAACGATTCACGATTTTCTGCATTGATATTATTATTATTTAGTGATTAAGGAACATTCAGCAAACAAGACATTTTCAACGTGCATAACCAACACGTTTGGTCTGACAGCAATCCCCACTGCACTGCCCCTCATAAACGCCAGCAGAAATTTTCCGCGAACGCCTGGGCAGGTATCCTGGGAGATTACCTGGTAGGCCGTGCATCATGCCAGACCGTTTGACCGGCGCAACATACCGTATCTTCTTGGAACAAGTGCTTTCCAGTTTATTGCAGAATATTCCGCTCCCCATAATGAGAGACGTGTGGTTTATACACGATAGAGCCCCAGTACATTTTTCCTCCACAGTACGTAACATTTTGAATCCCACATATCCTGCACAATGGATAGGACGTAGCCTGTGGCTTGGCCTCCTCATTCACCGGGCCTCAACCCACTCGACTTTTACTTCTGGGGGCAGATGAAACCTTTAGTGTACGAGACGCCTGTGGACTCAGCTGAAGATCTCGTGACGAGAATCGTTGTTGCCACGGACAAAATTATCACGACACTAGGTATCGAGTGGGTGCGCCAGGCGTTCCTTCGCCGATGTCAACTGTGCAGTGACCCACGTGATTGGCATTTTGAGCACTTTCTGTGAGTTTTTCACTAAACAATAAATCTGATTGCGCACTTTTTGGTCTCTTCATGAAGACTGTTGTTAAGTTCAGGTTTGAATTCTAATGTTCCTCTTTTCTGGCTCTCACAGTGGAATGCGACCCTATGTTCTATGGTAATTATTGCCCGTCTGGATAGGTACTATCACCCCTCTTAATTTATAAAAGCAATTTAGAATCACCCCTCTTACGTATATACATTTTTGATTCCGATCCCAATAACAGAAGAGTACCGTTATTTTTTCAGTTGGCTGTGCCATTTTAAAAGAAAATCACTAAAGATACCGAAATGTACACAAAAGTCCCTGAACAACTTGTTGTTTGGGAATGGAACAACTTATATCTTTGTCCCTGGTCACACTTTCGCAAGCAAGTTTGAAAGCTTTTGTGACAAGTTACACAATCCCGATATGCTAGAAACTGACCTATGGTTTCTGATGTATATATGATAAGAAGAATTAGAAAAGTGAAAATACGCTGGATCGTTTTTATATTTGCTTTTCTGCTTCAATAATTTTAAGAGTCCGTTTTCTGAGGTTTGCTGTTTGCAAAACTGTTTTCCTGCGTATTTCATCTTACTCTTGATAGTGAAGACTACATGACACATTACACATGTATGCATAAAGAAAAATTAAATGTACCACGTTCCACACAACTAAGCAAAAATAATTCTGCTTTAATGGCATACCGAGATTATGCTTCGATTGCGATTTTTCTGAGTAATAATCAAGCAACAAATCTTAATCCCGAACGTTTTGATTCGTGCCAGACAGTTTTACAAGATTATTTACAAGAAAACATCTTCAAGATTCACATTCTCTCTCCAAAGTGCGAGGAACTCCTGTGTCGGAGGGATTACCATTAAGTTTACGGAAAGAGGAATGCCCAAAATGTTCTTGTTACTTAGATGATATTATAATATTATCAGAGACTTTCGAAAAACATATAGCTGATTTAGAATCAATTTTCGAGAGACTGTTGCAATTTAAACTTTAATGCAAATCACGAGAACTGCAGTATTGCAGATCACTAGATAACCTCTGATATACAGAAGATGCTTGCTCCAAGAAATGTGAAACAAGTGCAGTCTTCCCTGCAAACCTGTTCCTGCTACAGAAGATTTATACCGAAATTTTCAGAAATAGCTAGACCTCTAAGTAATCTATCTAAAAAGAACTTAAGCTGCGCATGAATAGGAAGAAAATTTTTTTCAGGCATTAAAGCGACTTCTCATTAACCTTCCAATCTTAAAAGCAAAATGATGCAATAAAGCCTTACATTATTCGAACGGATGGGCTAGCAACTATGCTTTGGATGCTGCGCTATTACAAGGAAAAGGTTCAGAGGAACATCGAATAGAATACACTAAGCGTTTGTTGTCAGCCGCCGAAAGAAATTACTCTACAACAGACCAAGAAGCCTTGCTGTTGTATGTCCTTAAACAAATTCCGTGGCTATATTGATGGTCAAGAGATTACTCTGACATTTGATCACCAACCGGTGAAATAGATTTTAAGCTTGAAAAGTCACCTAAGGGAAGACTTGCTAGGTGAGCTGTGCTGCTATCTTATAATTTGAAGATGGAATACATCCTTGGAAGAGCTAATTTTGTATCCGACATGTTATTATGCCCTGTGTGCAACCATGAAGGAGGCTCATGCGATGAAGTTTGTGTAATAAACATTGATATGCCAACCAGAAGTGAAGTAAAAATTCGTGGAGAACAGCTGAAGGACACAGAAAAAACATAGAAACTTTAAAAAAATATAGAAACTTTCAAAAGTGAAGTAAAAGATAAAAATTTTCTAATTGCACCAAAAAGGTTATGCAATGAATCAAGGAAATTTGTATCGCTATTTCCAAGTCTCTGAATCAGAGGAAGTTCAACTACAGACCAACTACCAACACTTGAACGAGAAAGAATTTTTAAGCAATATAATGATGCTTCTAGATCAGGACATTATGGTGGAATTTCCCAAAGGTATTATTTCACAGAAATGGGGAAATACGCTGCAAACTTGATGTCCTAGGTAATCTTAAGCTGGGTCCTTGTCGAGGCAAGTCGGATTCAGAAAGAGAGGTTGTAACAAATCAAAAACTGTTGGATTGGAGGACGACCTGGTCCCCCTTGTCAATGAAGACCATATGACCGCGGCCATGTCCGGTAATATTGATTTAAGTCAATGTCATTGTATATATCCATTTTCAAGGAAATTTTAATATTTCGAATTAAACCTTGATTTCGGTCAGACCGTTCCCACCACACCCTCCATTGATCAGTATAGTAAGATTTTATGGATCTAATTGCAAAACGTTTTGAACCCGATGTTTCAAAAATGGAACATCCTCGCTTAAAGCGGCATTTTTAGCTAGTTAGTCCGCCCGTTCATTACCAAACCATCCTAGATGTGATTTGACCCAGTGAATTCTAATACAAAAATTTTTCTGCGGGGATTTCAAAATATCTTTAATATTTAAAACCAGATAATTTTCTGTAATAGGAGCAGGCAGTAACATAAGGAGTGATAAACAACCAGAATAAGTATCTATTTCGGTTCTGCACTTTAATTTTTCTTTAATCCATTTCAAGGCTTGTAGTAAAGCGCAGTATTCTGATTGAAAAACGGAATTATACTTATTAAGTTTAAAACATCTACTATCAATTTCGACTCCAAAATAAAAAACACAGAGGGCGACACCATACTTCCCATCAACTCCAGAACTGTCAGTATATATGTTAATAATACTAACAGTAGGAATTTTTTTATCAAAATAAAATGTAAAATTTTCAACTGCATGAAAATAAAACTTTGAAATTTTTTGAAACATATGTTTGGTAATGAGGATGTCATTATATAAAATAAAAATTATTTCTATGGATTTTTAGAAAAAAATTATCTAAATAAAATTTATAAAATATAGAAAGAGGGAAAATGCCAGATAAAACAAAAAGCTTGTCTGAAGGAACTATTCTGAAACACCGTGTAAACAGCAGGGCCCAGCTCCGTTGTATTGAATCAAGTTTCCTCCTCAGGCGTTGCAGCTTCCCCGCCGTGGAACCCCAGGCCCAATGCCATAGATAATTATTGGTAAAATAATCAAATTTTCTCTCCTCATTCTGAAACATGGACGTAAGAAAGGACTACTGAAGGAAGGCTTCCTACCTGCATGGGCCCAACTTGCCAAATACTGGGGTGACAAATTATCGTCCACCATTTTTAATTCTGGCACCACTGCAGATATATCCATAATTTTTGGAGCAGGAATGATGAAGAATGAGCTATCCCTTCCCGGGGTTCAAGCTCTGGACCTCCCTATTACCAGCCCAGTGTGCTTCCAATTACAATACAGAGGGACGCAGTGAGAAGAGAAAAAATACTTTACAAAGTTACCAAGGGGAGATTCGTTGTTTTGACAAGTTCATCAACATCTGGGAAAATATGCCTAAGCGCTTCAACTATATTTCCGTAATATGCATTGTAAAGTAATGCGCAATCATAAATATTCGTTTTGCTTGCAAAATATTCAACGCCATCTTCAAATCATCTTGACCATCAAAGCAACAAACAAACAGTTTTTAAAAGCTGTTTGTTACGTTAAAATAGGAACTTCAAAGTTATTTTACTAAGTGTTAAAGGAACTTAAAGTAATGTTATTTTCTGCCTCGTGATTTGAGAAAATGGAAACAACAGCTGCAGAGAAAAGGTCGAATCGCTCAATCCCCCCCCAACACTTAATTTGCATTTACCGTATTTCGCTTCATGAAACGTGCACGAATGAAGGCTGACGTGAACTACTGTCTCAGATGGCTTACTTAAAATAAATGCTGTGTGGTGATGACGACATGCATTACTACCGCAAATGGAGGCGGGTCTGATAACAACCTTGAAATATCTATTTTAAAATAACAGGATATTGTAGTTAGTGCCTATAAAATTTACAGATTCTTCTTTGTTCCGAGTTCAGGAAAAATTGAGTAAGGATGGACAAAATGTGCAAACACTTTGGCATCACAATCACATTTATGCGTTGCGAAATAATCGTAAAAACTCATTAAAAACTGGGAAAACTCATATCGGTTTTGCACTAGCCAAACATTTTGTTGAGTCATTAGGTTATTTTAAAGCAGGAGAGTTGGAAAATGAGCAATGCCCTCGCCTGGACTCACACCTGAACCTCTCGAGTGTGCTAACCGCTGCTCCACGAAGGTATGCTTCAAAGGAGAGAGAAAATATTTTATATACGCCCTCTTTTAAAGGTCGACTGGAGATTAGGGGACCCAATCGCCAAATCCTGTTGCTGAAGAACCATCATCCACCATCCTTATAGCTTGGGCGCCACTGTAGAGTCATTAGGTTATTTTAAGTAGGAGACATGAAAAAAATATGCAGTGCCCTCGCCGAGGCTGGAACCTGGACCTTTCAAATACGCGCCAAGTGACACCACGAAGACAAGTTAGGAGGAGGGAGAAAATACCTTATATATTCCAGGGGGAGCCTATTTTATGTCAAAAATTTAATTTCACCATGGGGGGTCATGGTAATCTCGAACCTCATGTTAAAGATTTCCGAGGAATTCTCTGGAACTGCTTGAGAGAAAATCGCAATTTTTTGAGTGCAGGAGAATACCCATGCGACCTTTCATCTTCCACAAGAACGATGACTATATATACTATAGGCGATTTTTTTTTTAATTTTTCAAAAATCAATAAAAAATAAAAATTTGAACGTTATTAGAAATCCGGAATAGCCAAAATGTTTGTCTTGAGACGCTCTATAATTTAAAAAAAAATTTATCTCTCTAACCCAGTTAGGACCCGAGATCCACATGGGCGTCCTAACCCATATAATGGTAACCTTATATACTTCCCCTTTTAAAGGACCCAATCGCCAAATCCTGATGATGAAGAATCATCATACACCACCTTTTTTAGTTCGGGCGCCACAGTAGAGTCATTAGGTTATTTTAAAGCAGGAAAGCTGAAAAATGAGCAATGCCTTCGCCGGGACTCGAACCAGGACCTCTCGAAAACGCGCCGAGTGTGCTAACTTTTACACCACGAAGGCATGCTTGAAAAGAAGGGAGAAATTAGTTTTTTCAAAGCAAAGAATCGAAGTATTTCCAAACCTATTGTTTTTCAAAGCTAAATTTCACTGCAAGTCAAATTTCAAGTGATAGAGTTTTCGTAATAATATAGAAGTGTCATGCATTGAAACCATGACACTGATATCCATTTTGGAACTTCCACAGTCTTTGAAAGCTGAATGCGCGCAACTTTATATCAACCGAAAAAACTGGAAAAAGCTCTATTTTTGCTTTATTTTATGTAAGAACACAAATAGCATTTCAAACATTCGCCGATTGTGTTGCCACTCAGCAAAGCATAGTATATTTTTAAATGTCAATATATCTTTCAAATTTAATCAGAAAACTCAGCGATATAAATAAAGTGTGTTGCCACTCGGCAAAAGGCATTATACTTCTCTTTCGAATTTAATCGCACTGTGGCCAAATGATTGTATCTAGAACCATCACATTTTGAATACAGAGCCCTCAACCCAAACCCGTGCACCTCGAAGTCCGAAAATTGGAATTTTTTAAAAAATATTTTGTAAAAATTTAATGAATTTTTAGTTACACAAATTCAGCGAGTTAAAAGAGGATAACGGCAAAACTGTTCAAACATCTCCTGAGTGAAAGTCTGTTGTCATTCGGCAAAATGTAATATATTATCTTTCAAATTTAACCTGTCTGTTATTAATTAGCAAAGTAAAATATTTAAAAGCAACAATGCAGTTCTCAATATTTTTAAAATTTTTTTAAAAATTTGATTGATTAAATAAAAATGCATTTAATTAAAATATTACATATTTTTATGAAATGACATTAGCTCAACTCCTTAAAAACCATTATATATAAAGAGAGAGAATATAAATTTTAAATAAAATAATTAATTATGAGTAAATATATATATAGTTTTTTTAGCTCAGAAGGGCTATTAATTTCCGTTTGGCATTTTGCCTTGAATCACTAGAAATGGAGTATCACTTTTCAAATTGTTGCCACCCAATATTATCGTCTCGTATTATATTTAAAGAAATTAAATAATGAAGAATCTGCATAAATGCATGCATATTTCTCTCATTGCGATAAAACAACAGTACCTAGAGCCATCCAATTTTGAATACCGTAATTCTCCCCCGAATATGGGCATCTGGAAGACCTAATTTGGAACATGGAATTTGTTTTGTTACCTATTTCATATTTTATAAAACTGTAACAAATTTTTGATTAACAAACCCAACAATTTCAAAGTGAGCAATGGCAACATTGTATGGAAAAAAAAAGTAATCTCCAATGCGCGAGACTATGTATCGGAAATTCTAAAGATAGGCTCATTTAAAAATTATTTTGAGATATTGCCGTTCAACTGACTTATGGTTTAAGTGCAAAAACATGATATTTAGTAAATAAAGGTAACACACAAAACATCAAAGAAACGCTCCTTTGGGCGTGTTGTGGCTTGAACTTACACAGAAATTTAAAATAATGGCTAATATTGTTTTATTTGTTTTTTATTGTTTTTAGGACGGCAACGAAAAGATTATTCAATTCTGTTGTTCTAAAAAAATGTTTATGTTTGCTAAGAGCTTTAATAAAGATTATATTCGAATCAAAAAATGTGAATAAAAGTTATTTAAAGAAACGGTGTTCTAATTATAAAGATTAATTAGGAGTCAAGAAACTATAGGGGTAATGTAAAATCTGAAAGCTTTTAGATTTTTTTTAATTTGATTAAGTAAAAATGTATTTAATTATAAATATTAAATATTTTTTATGAAATGTCACTAGGTGGACTCATTAAAATTATTACATAAATATTTTGTTTTTTATAGTTACTACTTTCGACTTGCTGTAATTGATATTCATAAAGACAGCTTAGAATAAAAGTGAAAAACCTTACCTGAAATACTGGTGGAGAGTCGATACTGCCTTGCAAAAGTCCCACAAGAAACTTGAACCGTACGGGTTCTCCAAAAACTACACGGATTGTTGTCAAAGCTTCAAGAATCAGAGCATGACTACTAGCACTTAACTCCAGCACATGAACTAACAGCTGCAACAAAATAAAAAAGAATTGTACACTCATTATATATGTCAAAATAATGAGAAAGGGGAAGTTTAAAATTCCATCATAATTCATTGATAATTAACAGTTATTACCTCCTTTATGGGAAGAAATATTATTATTCCCATGGCAGTGTATAAAAATCTCGCATTTAAAAAAGCGAATTGGATTCCTTGTTAGCACGCCATTTATGCCCACAGGGCTAAATTTCACTCGCTGAAGTGTAACAAAATATTTAGGAATAACCCTGCATAAGAAACACTTTCTCAATTCGGTCTCGAAAGGAATGATTGCCTTTCTGATCCGTAACTTAATGAATCTGGAAGAATGTTTGGATCATTTTGCTTAAATTGTTTGATTTGAAATAGTCGCTTGAAAATATATATAACGATTAAAATGAAACCATGTACTGTCATTTCATAAACATATTCAATATTTCTAATTAAACATCTCATCATTTTAAGGTATCCGACCTCGTTCAGGTACCATTTTTTTAAAAATGGTTTTTATTTTAACTATAAACATATTAATTTGAAGATAAGAATATTAATGAGTGAAAACAATTTAAAACGTAATGCTAAGTAATTTTAATTTTGAAAAATAATGAAAAAAAGGACAATTTTTGCTTAAATTTTGCCTTTACGGCAACAACCACGGTGAACAATGTATATATAAATATGTAGTTTTTTCAATTTGTATTTATATTTACACTTGTTTTGTATGCAATGAAGCAAAATAATTAAGAAATATTCATATATTCTTGAGATATGTCAAAATGTATAGTATTTTACTGTATATTTTTCCTATTATTGCATCCAAAAAATCTAAAAATAAAAAGTAACATTCAACTTCTAATTAATATTTCTAAAATTTCTTTTGCTTCAGAGCATGCATCAGATTATATGAAACATGTATAGAAAGTATCATTAAATTTTATCCATAAAAGTTTGAGTTATGACTGTTACCATTGGCAATATTTACAGAAAAAACATTTTTCAGAAAACAAGTTTAAAGTTTTCATAAAACAATTTCTTAGTGAAAGAAACATCCCTGATAACTAAAATGCCCCTACTTTGTAACTTAACACCTTGTTCTTTCTTCCCACACTTTGCACCTTTTCTTTCGAACAAAGCGTAATTTTTTTTTTTTTTTTTTTTGGGGGGGGGGTTGTAAAACTTGTGGAATGCCACCAAAAGTCATGATTTTGCACTTTATCAAGTTTTCAAATTCCCTGCTCAGTGTAAAATTCAGGGCACATACCTAACCTTGAAAATGCTTCAAGCAAACCTATAAATCCATCATTAAATAACATTAAATAACCCAACACTTACATTTGCTCCAAACATTAATATTCGCAAATTTATGAATGTTCTTTCGGAAAAATTTGCAATAAAATGCCATTAAAACGTTCCTTGATATTTTGAGTTTTGCCATGTAGACACTTTTTAATAATTCTTGTTTATGTAGTCAACTCCATATATGTAGGTTTGATTAAATTCAAAATATATACTGATATACCAGAGGTTTTTGTCCAATTTCCCCCCCCCCTAATTTCTGCAATCACATTCACAATTGCACCAATTCACTGATAATTGAGGAGGGCATTGGCTTCGAAGAAGAGCTACAATGGAACAAGCAGTTAGTACAACCTGCTGTATCTCAATTAAGTTTCAAACACGACTTCTAATTGCAATCCCTAATTCTGCAGTTTATCAATAAAAGAATCAGTCAGTTTACCTTTTCCTTTCAATTCAGGAAAGAAGTTTTTTACTTTTCGTAGTCCACTACCAACCCTTTTCTGTACATGTTCAATGCATTCCACTTTCTTGACCGAATCTTTACCATATATATCTTTAACAATTAAAAACCCCTTAGAATCCCCATCCTCGTAATACTCCATGTGCTTCAGCTTTCGTAATGTAATAGATCATTCAACAGGGAATAAGCACCAACTGCTTCCATACCCGAAGCTGCTTCATTATAATTTGCAGAACAATTATATTACGCTTTACATGTGTCGTGCTGAAGATTGCATGCCATTCTGTTTATTTTGTTGCAAATGATGTAAAAATGTGACATAGCTTTCAAATCAAGCACTTTGTCAACGCTAATCGACAAAGCGGCAACACATACATTCAACGTCGAATACCCTCTGCGCCAAACTAAATACGAAATTAAGGGAAAAAACTAACACCAGATACTTAAAATGCATTACAAAATATCCAAACTTAGTACGCATGTTTATAATTTACAAAATCTTGATGATAAATAAAGTTTCTAAATACGTAATCTATTTAAACGCTCACTTCCGGCCCAGAATATTGGAATTTGCGGTTTATTCCGTTACAGAAAAATGCTTATAACTTCAGTTCTAATTAACCTATCAACAAGTAAAAACTTGTATTTGATAGCTAAAGATGTATTATTTAAGATAATGTAATAAAGTAAAAATCGAAATTTTGACCGAAAATCGTCTTTTGTACGAGGTCGGATACTTTAAATGCATTTTTATTGAAATCAATGCGATTAAAAAGGTAGAAAAAACATTCTTTGCTTTTAAGTAAAATATTCTTTGCGTTAGCTATTGAGCTGCGATTACTATTTTTCTAGTCGCTTGGTTTTTAACTGAATATCAGTTTGGTTTATTTAACTGAATGCATTTTTAGCCCAAAGGGCGTCAGCCAAGAAGAGCTATTAATTTAGTTTTGGCATTTTGCGTCGAAAACTTTAAATATACGTTTCACTTTTCAAATTGTTGCCACCAATTGTTAGCGCCCTGTGTTGTCTTTAAAGAACTGAAATAATAAAGAATCTGCATAAATGTATATATGTTTCTCGCACCAAGGGCCATCCAATTTGGAATAACGTAATCCTCCATCGAATATGGGCATCTGGAAGATCGAATTTGGAATTTTTTTATTATCGATTTCATATTTTGTAACACTTTAACGAGTATTTGATTAACAAACTCAACGATTTCGAAGCGAGCCATGGCAACACTTTACGAAAGAAAACATTTTAATCTCCAACGCGCGAGACTGCGTATTGAAAATTCTAAAGATATGCTCATTTTAAAATTATTTTGCGATATGCTGTTGAATTGAATTTTATGGTTTAAGTGCGAAGAGCATGATATTTAATAAAGGTAACACACAAAATGTTAAAAAAAGAACGCCCCTTTGGACGTATTATAAAATCTGAAAGAGGTTTGTCCCTGAATAACTATTGTTTTCGTTTTGCGTTGGTTTACTATAAATGTCCGTTGCACTTTTCAAACGGTTGCCACCCAATGTTAGAGTCCTGCATTATATTTGAAGAAGTTAAATAATGAAAAATCTGCATAAATATATGTATATTTTTCGCATTGTGATAAAACAACGGTACATAGAGCCACCCAATTTTGAATGACGTAATTCTACTGCGAATATGGGCATGTGGAAGCCCAAATTTGAAATTTGTTTCATTATCGATTTCGTAAAACTTTAGCGAATTTTTAAGTAACAAACTCCACGATTTAAAAGCGAGCAATAGCAATACTGTGCAGAAAAAACATTTTTATCTCCAGCGCGCGAGACTGTGTATCGGAAATTCTAAAGATAGGCTCAGTTTAAAACTATTTTGCGATATTGTTCTTGAACTGAATTTTATGGCTTAAGTGCCAAGAACATAATATTTAAGAAATAAAGGTAACACACAAAATGTAAAAAAAAAAAAAAAAAAAAAACCGCCCCTTTGAAAGTAATTTAAAATCTGAAACCTCTTAAAATTTTTTTTCGCAGTGTATAACTAATCCTCAAATTAAAAACATATCAATGCGCGTGACAGGCATTATTTTTTCGTCTTTTGATTCTAAAGATTCTTTCAACAGATTGCTTGTCACGTACCAAATGTCCTATCGCGTGGATGGACGAATACGAAAAAGTAACCAACCGAAAAGAATGTTTCGACATTACCAATTTTCAAAGGCGACGATTACATTGTTTCGAATGAGGGCGGTGGACAAAAACGAATCCATTATTATCATACTTGTATACTAACCAACAAATAAAAAAACATATTTTTAATCTGTGATGAAAAACTGGGGAAAAAAGAATTACGTTTGCTTCCATTCTTTCTTTTATATCTGATGACAAAGTATTTCACGCTTTCGTAAAGCTGAGAAAGACACCCTGTTAATGTCTTGATCGCTTTTAAATATATTTTGTTTTGTTTGTTCAGATTTTATGAAGATGAATTGGAAAGTAATTTCATTTTCTACATTCCTATTCCTGATATTAAAGAAAAAGGGGTAGTATATAAAATATAGCTATCGAGGCTCGAGACAGATACTTCCCTGCTCTCCCATCCCCAGTGAAATGATTGCAATATAAAATGTAAGTAAAAATACATAATTAATATTTAATTTATTTAACTAAAATTTAATTTGGAAAATATAAAATCTTAAAACTAAGGGAAAAAATAAATTACATCTAGCAGATAAGCATATATTTAAAAAAAGCTTATTAATCTGCTATTTTTGGTGATTAAAAAATGTTTTAAACTTTTCTGTCTCTAAAAAGAGCTTTTTTTTAGTCCAAAGGGGATATTTGCCTTGAAGGACTAATTTCGTTTTGGTATTTTGCATTGTTGATTGACTTTTAATGGCACAAAACCTTGAAGGCTGAACCATGCGCCAAACGAATGGTGAGTAAAATCCAAAATGCACAAGCACACTGTATAAGATGAATCGTTGAAATGAACCTGTAATGCTGATGAAGGCATGTAGAAACGACTTTGAGAAATGCTCTACAACAGGTAAAGCAGGATAAAACTTCAAATCATATGGTAAAAAGAGATGTGTTTAAAAATCTTATGAGGTTGATTTGAGGGTTCTTCCAATGAGATCTGTTAAGTTAATATTCGTAGAGTTAAATGATATTCACGTTTCTGACGAAGAGCAGGACAGCAGGTTAAAATGTGATTGACTGAAACGGGAACGTTGCAAGTGC